AGTCAGTTTTCTTATTCCTATTGATACAATTCTTGCGTTCTCTGCAGCGCAGTTTTTATCGGCTTGTAAGTATGTTACATGCTCTTCAAAAAATCGATAAGCCAACCCATTGCTAGCAAATAATGCTTGGGGTGTCGAAGATTGCGCTCGCCTTAGAATTGAATCGCATGAAACAGGGAAAATAACAGTGAACGACCTCCCTTGCACTCAGATGGCTATAACTTCTCGTTATATATGCGAATACGTGCCCGTAGTGACACGGCGTAATGGAGACTAAATTTAATGAACTTATACTCATTCCACCCCAAAGTCTTTTACGGGCGCTCTCGATGGCGGACACCGGAACGTAGTACAATATGTGTACCAGGTTAGGGTTAGACCATAGTTTTATTCCAATTTTCCTCATTTTAGTTCTATTACGAGTTCGATGACTAGCCAAGTGACTCCCGTAGTATTTGTACCTGGAATTATGGACCAACTATCACTATCGCGTAATAGAACTAAAATAAGGAAAATTGGAATAAAATTATGGCCTAACCCTAACCTGGTACACATACTACGATCCGGTGTCCGCCATCTTGGTTCACATAATTCGGGAGTATCCTTATTTTTTGTAACTAATTACTTGACTGGAAAGGAAATACTTCTTAAAACATGGAATCAAATCTAATATGCATAGAAGATTATGAAAGAATAGCAAAGAAGAGAATATCTCCTTATTACTGGGGATTCCACTCTGGCGGAGCAGTGGGGGAACATACTATAAAATAAAATTGTGACGCATATAAGAGGTAGGTCACCTTATTTATATACAAATTTTATTTGACTATACAATTGCATTTTTTGAATTCACAATTTTGATAAGACGATTATACTACCTGGTACCATTACAGCCATCTTTCATTGATTTTCAGGTGGAGATTTCGACCGAAGCTTTTAAGAAACGTTTCAAAAGTGGACTGTTCCACCACAGTTTTGAATTCACGGATTCCCTTTCCGATTTGTGTTGGTCCGACAGCAAATCATGCTTTTGCATATCAAGAAGGCGAAGTGGCAACAGCAAAAGGTGATGATTAAAAAAGGCTTTTTTCCACAAATCGATTTCAAATTTCAATTTCTAAATACGTTTACCTCCACTCAATTACAAATTTGTCTTGAGTATGATGTAACAGGCATTTCGTCTAAAAAATTTCTGTGTTATTGCGCTTGTCCGCCGATCTTTTCAGTGAACTCGATTCGTACCCGTCACCCTGCATGGCGTACGTGTCCATATATTTGAACATCCGTTTTTTTATGATTCAATCGTATAGTAGTACTTCATACTTTCGTCCAAGTTCACAATGTTTGCTGCCGCGATAAATACAATTATTAGTTTGTCACAGAAGTTACATTTGATCGTTTAGCTGCAGCGTCCCTGGGCACTGGAATGACATTGAGTTTATTCAGCAACCGTAGTATGGAAGAAGTTGCAATGGAGGCTCCGGATGGAATCCGGTGGTGTCATATTCAAGTTATTCCGGTTTGATAAAATTAGTTGATTTTTAATGACGTGTTAGTTGTCTATAATGTAAAATATAGAAGAAACTATAGAAGCCGACCTTTGAACACTCTGAAATTGCAATCGCGTCATTTTATATGACGTCATAATCAACCATTTAGTCCCGCAAAAGGTACAATTTTGCTGCAAATTACGAAGACGACTTTGTTCAAAAGTAATGGCGACCGTTTTTTATTTCAAGCTTATAATTGATCTATTAACGTCATATGCCAGAGACCGTTCTCAGATCGAACAGTTCGCCGTATCAATATACCCATGTTTTGGAATCATAGCTAAGTTTGAAATATAATTCGTCTGTATTTGAGAACGTCGATATGCGGGAAAAGAAGATCCAAAAGTTTGACCTTTTTTTAGTATAACCTAGTTAAAACGGGCCAGTTGTGATTAGTTTATTTAATATTTACATTATAATCTAAACATATCAAGTGGTGATTTTTTCAGGATCGCGCAGTGATGGGCGATTTTATAACACGAGCGGAAGAGAACGGATTTCGGGGATTTATTGTAACAATTGACCAACCAGTATTTGGAAAACGATGCAACAAAACGGACGATGGAGAGACATATGATTTCATATTCGACCTGGAGTAATCATTGTTACTCATCTCCCAACTCTCCTTTACACTACTTTTCACACTTTCCAATGCTCATATTGCATCATATTATCTATTTTTTAAAAAAACAGGCAAAAGAATATCTCCACATCAATCAAAAAGTGGAAACCCAACGCGCAGATGGAAGATATTGTAGCAACTTGTTACAGTTATTTGGATGGAACGGAAACTTGGGAAAATATTGATTGGCTGAAACAAAGAACAAACCTCCCGATTGTTGTCAAAGGAATATTAACAGGTCACTTCCAAAAATATGCCAAATAAATATTTATCGTGTATGAGTGAGATGGAGTATCCATTAGATTGGTCGTTATCGTATCGTATTGAATGTGAAGTATTAACCAAAGGTGATATCAAAGGTTTCGATATCATAACTTATATTTGGTCAAAATCAATTAAACCTAAGCTTTTTGACGCTCAACAATTTTTATATTATAAATGAAAAAATTTGACACTGTTTGCACAAACACAATTTTGTTCAATTTTATCATTTCTAGAGGAAATGGCTTTAGAAGCAATTGAACATAAAGTTGATGGCATATTGGTATCAAATCACGGTGGAAGACAACTTGATGGAACGTTTGCCACGGTTTGTTGAATATGATGTGAATTTAAACTGACATGTATATGAATTACTTTACATACGTATAACAAAATTAGAATGTCTGTAAGTTGTTAATTCAATTACTTTGCGGCAATAACAATTTACCACGAATCTTAGTTAAATAAATATTATACTACTGTTGTACAATAATATAAACCGAATACAAAACCACCTTTTTGAAACATTACAGAAAAACCGGACTTCGATCAATCACTCTCATAAAATAGTCTATGACAGTGGTTCCCAAACTTTTTAGAGTTGGGACCCACTATTTATTACCACAGCTTATGGCGACCCACTGAACTTTTTATGACATAACACAGAACACAGCAATGGCTAATCATCGCAAAACTACCGTGTTTTTTCGAAAATAAGACCTGGCCTGAAAATAAGACCTAATTTGAATTTTCAAAAATGATTTTAATTAAACCCTACCCTTAAAATAAGTACATAATGTGTGGGAGAGGAAAGGTTCAATGACCTGAGATAAGGTGAAGATCACACCATTATTCAAGATTGTGTGATATCACAATTATGATATTTGTCACTTGATTTTTGTATAAGAAATACAAATAAAAACAATGGATGTCGGTTTTTATATATTGTTCATTAAAAAATCTCGTGATTTTCTACAATGTAATTTTATTTTTGATAAATGAACACAAAAGACAACTTCCAAAAAAAAAAACTTAGTGTTATTCTTCAAAAGAAAATAAATCTAAACCTGTCTAAATTTCGGAGAAACACGGTAACAAGTGATGTTCAGTGTACAAAACTGCTATGCGTAAAAAAGCCACATGGTCCTAAAAAGGAAACTTTCACAGATTAGAATTTAAATTCAATTTAATTTTTTTTTTCAAGGTTCACGTATTCGAGTCGCCACCGATCAGTATAATTACCAGTATAATTAATCAAAGCTTTCTACATCTTTTCACGACCCACTAAGATTCATTTTGCGATCCACCAGTGGGTCGCGACCCATATTCCGTTGAAAGTAAGCAGATCAACTTTATGTGACTATGTGACAACCAGGTGTGATTAAGGAAAATGACTGTTCCGGCATAAATATAGGCCGGTTTGCAATTTTTCTATCAATATTATGGTATCTCATGCAAGCTTTTGAATGCCTAATAAACGGTACAATATAATCTTCTTATTTTTTCTCAAAGTTTAGATCGACTCTTTACCAGAAGTAGTAAAAGCTGTGAATGGTAGATGTGATGTTTACTTTGACGGAGGAATTCGTAAAGGAACTGACATCGCGAAAGCACTTGCGCTTGGGGCTAAAGCTGTTTTCATCGGAAGGCCAATACTTTGGGGTCTTGCTTGCGATGTATGAATGTCTGTATATTTGATTTTAAAGTGCAATATAGGTATAACTTCCACACGGTCAAATGCACTGGCAATCTGTACAATACTGCTCATGATTTTCGAGTAGAACTGCCCAGTATAAATGATTCTGCTGGGCGACATGCATGTCGTAGCTTCTATAAAGCAGTGCTACTCAAAATGGAATTGTTTTTCAACTATATTGCTGCTCGCGTACTACACGCATTTGACACGAGATTTTAAAAGTTATTCTGAAAAGCATCTTGGCCATATCATTAGAAGTAAATGATTCAATCCAAAACCAAAACGATTCTGGTTCCATAACTTTAAGGAAAACGTTTTTGTTTATTGTCCTGTTAAAACGATTTGATTCTGATTTATTCATTTTCTTCATATAACAAACCTGATAGCAAATTACTATTTGTATAATATTTCACTAATTTGTTAATTTGCAAAGAAATATTCAACAGGGTGAAGCGGGAGTCAAAAAAGTTCTTGAAATTTTAAAGGATGAACTTGTTACAACCATGCAGCTGTTAGGTGAGATTTTAGAATCCTCGACAAAAAAATCTGTTGGCGTGATTATGTAGATTTTTCATATCTTATAATATTGTTTCAATTTTCCAGGTGTAACATCGATCAAGGAATTGCAATCAACGCCTAATTTGGTTGTTCACGAGTCACGTGTTTTTGCAAAGTTATGAAGAAAACAGAAGTTTTGCTATATTATATAGACTAGTGATTAGGTATAGTGTCAATAGCTTGAATTATGAGCCTGTCTACTCGATTGATCGACCAAACTATTTTGCTCGTATTCATGGGGCACCTGATATCACGCGAAAATAGGTGAAAACACCAAAGCCTTGATAGCTTTAGGTTGAATAACATGTTACGCCTTGATGCATCACTTTCAACTTATGTATATACAGTAGAGGTTGTTTGCATGTTAGCGTTGCAGTCACGGTTAGTATGTTAATGGGGTAAAATGATTTTTATTAAAAATTTGACTACAAATGAAAGTATACCATTTTAATATATTTTCTGATTATATTTTTTCACACAAATACTCTAATATGTCCACCGTACATCTACCGTCATTCAGGTACAGCCTGTTATCTTTTCTAAATAGCATGGCGCAATCTTCAACTCCTTTGTAATTATTTGGTTCTCCAGAAGACCACAAGGAATGATCAACAGTTGAGTCATCGACATCATCGGACCAAATAAATCTTCCTTCTTGTGTAACGTCATCCAGTCCAATCCAGCAATATGAAATTGAAGCCAATATTCCATTTTGTAGTTTCCTGAACAATCATGTCGTAAAATTATTGCCAGTATAGACAGACAAGATGCATCTCGTGAATAAATTCGACATTGACATTGCCGTTAATAATCAGACAGACAAGATGCATCTCGTGAATAAAATCGACATTGACATTGCCGTTATTGCATTTTTACACCATTATCGAAAAGTTCTTCGCCTGGCGGTCTCTTCGGTAATGATTTGAAAACGCTCAGGTCTAATTGAAACATCGTCTCTGAATGGGACTCAAAATATAAATTGTAAATCGCTTTATAAACCTGTACTTTCATATAACTAAATGCAAAAGAAAATTTTTATAAGTATTTACTCACTGCCGGACAGTTGCGTCCCTTATCCCCGCCGAAGCAAGTCTAGCATTGAATGATTGGCAGCTTTCTTTTGCATCTGGATAACTCATTGTTTCATCGAAAAGTCGATACCAGAAACCGTTGCTAGCTTTAGTCCAACCTTGTGCCTTCAAACTGAAGTCTTTCAAATCTGAGATATTTCAGGAGATTCCAATTATTGATTGTCACAATATACGCATTTTTGTTGTATTGGGACAAGCAGAGTAGATAGTTTGAACTAATGATGATAAATATGTGTGGCATTAAATGACCTTGTATATGATACAAGTTTTAATGAATTATATAAAACTTGGAACATTGTTGGGGGTACTCATAGTCCGAGCACTAATGTAAAACTGCTATTCGAACGAAAAATGATGTGCTCGACGTTTTTTGCGCTGAAAAAAAAACAACTATTTACAGTTTCTTCATACAGGATCCGTTATTTCAAATTCTGTTGATTTTTTTAATTCACGCACACATCTTCATGTAACATTCAGCACAATCATTTTAAGAATTAGCATGAATTTTGCTGATTTTGCGTTGGATGTATTTAGTCATCTGTCTTTCGTGTTTATATCTGCAGCAATGATCATTTGTGTGTTATCAAGTTTCACGATATCGAGCTGACGGGCTTAATGTATTTTACTAAAGTAATATTATTCGGAAACGGAGTGTTCATTCGGATCCTTTTGCTAAATTCTTTGTTATCGTTTTTATGAAAAAAATAGATACTAACATTTTTATTACTAAAAGATGGTTGAAGTTATTGGGAAGGTATTAGCTTTTCCCTCTTGCTTCCCAATAATTATTTAAAACAAGGGGATGCTTCAATTAAAGTGAGCACCTTTTTATTTGGTCACACTTGTCCTTATCCTCCTCGGTGGCAGCAAAGTCGAGTTGGATTACTTTTGAGGCCCCACCGTGGTAAGGCACCAATGCATGGTATATATTCTTATTGGTCTCTTGTTTATATAACAGAAATAATACATTTCATCATACTCTAGTTTTCTTTAATAGCGTTACATTCTTAGTATTGATTTACCAGTTTTATGTTTTTAAGATTAGACTCATCTTATATATTCTGTTTGATTCCTCTTACCAGATAATTCTGTTTGCAGCGAGTCTATTTTTCTTGACACAATATCAAATTCAGAGCAGTGACAAGGAAGACCTGGTTCACCTGTAGGCCCTGGTAAACCAGGAAGTCCACGATCTCCCTTTTGGCCAATTCTACCGGCTTTTCCTGGAGGGCCGACAGCCCTTGTAGGGAATTCAAGATTTTGATTTGCTCCGTCCTCGTTTTGATCGCACGAAAGACGACAAGATCCAAGCTCTATACTTGCGAACCCCGGAGAAATACATAATGAACCACAAACTAAGGAGAAAGCAAGTGTAGCTCTTACAGCCATTTGGTTTTAGATTACTTTTATAATATAATGTTTGCCATAAAACTCTAAAACGAATACATGCATAATTCGATTAATATTCAGCAACATGTCGCAAGAGATATAATTCAGAAAGAGTTATAATTCTAACAATACCCAGAGCCAATCGACAGTCAAAATTTTTTTTATTTTTCAATATTCTGCACTGTTCTCACTTCAGTATGTAAACCAGGATAGCCGAGTAAATACTGTCGCCTTTTGTCGGGTTAGTTTTATAAAACGTCTCAGAGTTGGGAGTCGGAATCACAATTTCGACAAAGACACACCTGTGATTCAGCTTGATAAATAAAAATTAAACGCACGATGAGTGCGTGTCTCTTATCTGCTTTTGTATAATATAACTTATATCAATATATTGACTGATTTGCTTCATGTCGTTCGGTTAATGTTTAACTATACTTCCTCGTTGGTATTGGTAATTCGTCACCACAAAACTCGAATATTTGTCTTTTAAGTCGAGCGCAAAGGTAAATGACCTTTCTATCTTCCAGATTCCCAAAACAAGCTTCGTTTGACCACTGCGTCAAGGATGAGCAAAATGTTGTACGGCGGTAAATAAGGGACATTCAATTTTGAAATATCAATCATTTAATTATAATATCATATAAATTATATGTACCACTAATGGTTTATTTCTCGGTAATTGGGCCATTTCTGGGTCCATGAAGTTCTATGAATTCAACTTACTATCCAATATAGTTGGGGATCATCGTATCTTAGTTGTAGCTAAAATTTAGTATTTGACTCAATTCAAATTTTTAATTAGACGCCCTAATCGCATTTTTATACATCCTTAAAAGGTCAATATGACGTCATAATGTAATCGGTATACCCTCATTGTAAAAGAGGGGCCTCACAAATGGCATAGCATAAGGCAGGGATGGCGAACATTTTTTAATGAAACATATATATTTTTATTATGGAAAAGAAGACAGTGGTTCATAGATATATGAGATACTTGACAATACAGTAATGAGAAACTCGCTGTTGCATCGTTTCCGCAATTCACTTAATCCTTGGTTGGTGTTGTGTAGTTTTATATATATTGGAATACATTTTCTCCTGGAGTGATACAGCGCCACTTGGTTCAGTATGGTAAGCTTGCCACGACCATGGATTTTTCTATGTTATATACCAGTTGTGGCCAACCTGCTTCCGACCGCGATCGACTGAACGCTTCAAAATAGATCGAGATCGACTGATCGGTAATAAGGTCCTACACAAAAACGAATGGGCACTGAATGTGCAGATAACTGCACACACGCATGCAAAAAATTCGCAAAATTGACACAAAATCTGTATTTTTTATGTTCCATTTAAGTTTTTTAAATTCATTTAAATCATACAATTCAGATAAAGGACGTGCCTAATTTTCAGTCGTGAGTGTTGAAAATTCTTCAAGAAACCTTGCCAAGTATTATCCAAACAGCGAAAAATAAATATTCTCAAACCATGAAAGTTACATGACTGCTCAAACTTCAGTATCTAATTTACAATTTCCTCAAACGCGGTTCTTCGCTTACAAACGCGATTTTTCGCTTGCTCAGAATTGGAACAAATTGGGCATTTTGATGTCACTGCTACCATTGCAAATAAAATTTATCAAACTACTCTTGGAGTGAGACAATAACTTTCGCATACAGCAGAAGTTATTGTAGGATCGTTTGTCAGTCTAGACCAGGGTTGCCAGATCCCAGTGATAAAATAAAAGTCAAATCAAAACAGAAAATGCCAACAATTTTAACAAGTACAAAAACCTTATGATTTGACAGATTTGAAACTCCTTGCACAATAGTGAATTTGCACAGTTCGCAATATGCTGATTTAGAGCCATCAGTTGATTTAGTGAGCCACATCAAATGCTTAATCCTACTAAAATTTGTAGTTTTGGTTACTATCATGACGGTTTCCACTTCAGCACGATCAACGGTTTACAACTAAGAAGGATTATTGAATGGCAGAATTAGAATGCATATCCGACATAAATTTAAAAACATCAAAAATTCAAAAAAGGAAATACTAAGCGGACAGCACTATTTTTTTCAATTCAGGTATATACAATACATCATGTATACCGCTTCAGGACGAATAAATGTACATATACAACTAACGCTGTAACACGCAAAACTATGAAAACGAAGCCTACTTGAACACCTGTCTAAGCGGCTGCAAAAACTGCAATTGGTATGTCATTCTAAGTGATTCAATAGTCTTGCTGCACACTGACACAAATATGTTTCTGTAACGTTTCGTCTGACCAAGGTCAGACTGTCTCAGACATACATAGTTCAACCTAATCGATAGCACACGTTATGTCATTGTTGGCTCATTTTTGATTGGTTGTGGTTAAGGGAAAATCTGAATGTTGAATAGCTGAGCCTGCTATTTTTGCACAATAAATACCGGTATTGTATTCTGAATGATTTTAATAATAGACAGTAGAATGAACATCAAAAAAGCCAAACGGAACCTCTGACGCCAAACGTGTTTCAAAAACGTCAAAATCGTGAAATTTGTCCTTGGCGCATTCCTTTTCCGATTTGTATTGATCCGACAGCAAATCATGCTTTTGCATATCGAGAATTCTATTACTCCGTTCCATTACATTTTGTCTTAATTAAAATGTAACAGACATTTCGTTCAAAAATTTTTTGTGTTATTGCGCTTGTCCACCGATCTCTTCAGTGACCTCGATTCGTAACCGTGGCCCTGCGCGACTTTCACGTCCATATCGTTTTTATCGAGCATCGTTTTTTATGATTCAAGCGTATATTAGTACTTCATGCTTTCGTCCAAGTTCACAATGTTATCTGCCGCGTTGAATACAATTGTTTGTCACAGAAGTTAATTCAATCGTTCAGCTACATCGTCCATGAGCACTAGAATGACATTGAGTTTGTTCAGCAACCGTAGTATGGAAGAAGTTGTAATGGAAGCTGCGGATGGAATCCGGTGGTGTCATATTCAAGTAATTCCGGTTAGATAAAAATTAGTTGATTTTTGATGACATGTTAGTTGTTAATAATATAAATTATAAAATATAGGACGATACTATAGTAGCCGACTTTTAAACTCTCTGAAATTGAAAGCGCATCACTATATTTGACGTCATAATTAACCATTTACTCCCGCAAAAGGTACAATTTTGCTGCAAATTACGAATGCTACTTTGTGCAAATATAATGGCGCCTGTTTTTGATTCCAAAATTATAATCAATCAATTAACGTCATATGCCAGAATCCTACTCATAGTCCAAATGAATAAAGTTTTTTTTTATTTAGATATAATGTCGCTGACATAAATATTGATACCCAGATGGGTGTGTAGTATATAATGTTGAGCAATTTTTTCTGAGCGGAATTTAAGTATTCGTACCAAGATGACGCACATCCTGTACCCTAACCAGGTACACATACGATCTTCAGGTTGTGCGCCATCTTGGTACGAATACTTCGGGAGCACCTGTTGGTAAAAACAAATATTTCATAACTACATGGGTTAGTTTTGAATACATAGTAACGTTGAATCTTCTTACAATGTCAGAAATTCAATTTTAGTAGAATACATGGTAGTTTATTTCACTAATATAAGCCAAGATGCATCGACAGCATCATCTAGCCACTTTCTTTTGCGCTCTTCAAACTACATTTGTGTTGCCGCGGGCATTTCGTTTTCCAGCTTAAAGCTTAGGGACTTGGGAAATATTTTATTAGTTGAAATGGATTGGTATATTCGACCTCGTATTTCACTCCGAACAAGGCCATGTAAAACCATCCACTGGTATCTAACGATTAGGGCTGGGAATTTCAGGGAAAACACTTTAACCGTTAACCGGTTAACCGCAGCGTGATGTTTGACGTAATAATTTTTAATTTAGCTTGTTACGTCACAACGATTACAAAGCAATTTCGCGTGATCTTATCCCGCTGTCTATCAAAATTATTCACGAATCGAAATAGTTTCATGATCGACCTGCTACAAGAGATATGCAGCGTACTTCGGACATACGAGAGTATTTTAGTAAAACAGATTTCGTTATTAAATTTTATTTATGTGACAAATTTTCAGTGTTCGATGTGCAAATTCTACTTTAAGATATCATAAAGAAAAACAGATCAACTACGCACTTTGAGTTTGCAACAAAATCGTGTACAATATATTTCGACCGAAAACTGATTCTGAATTTACCATTGTCCAATGTTCATAATCAGCAATCTTAGTACTTCAATTATTTTTCACATTTATTTGGTTCTTACCAATACACTTGATATTCTTTTGAATTAAACGCCATAGAAGATAAATTTGCGTTGACGAAATCATTTTCGAAGAAATTGTACAATATAAAGATGATTTGTATCTGGGATGTCAGTTAACGGTTAAAATAAATTGTAACCGTCAACCATCTAAAATCGGTTAACCGGTTAACCATTCCCAGCCCTAGTAACGATGTGTAACGTGATTTCTTTTAGAAGAACCGGAACCTTTCAGGTTCAGCATTGACTTTGGCCAAATTAATATATCCTTGTGGAGATAGAAGGTATGCGTATGCGAAACCGAGATGTGCATCTGTTATGCCAACATAGTTGAGTCAAACATTTTGATCACTAGTACATTACACACATTTTCCTGCGTGCTTCAGTTGTACGTATAGTAACGCGCACATGCATTAAATCCTATTTGTTTATTGAGCTATAGGTTTTGGACGAACTTTTGTGTATGATTTCATCCCATATAATTTGTATGCTGTTTTATAAAGAATACTAGTTTCAGCTTTTTCATTTATTTAAACCGCGTGTTGGAAGTAAGTTTTGTAATATTGCGTGTTGGTTTTCAACTGATTTATTTATATCCATCATTTGACATCCTTAAATCGGTGATGCCAGTAAATCTTTAACACAAAAAGATCAGTATCATATGCAATAAAAACAGCAGTACCCACTTAAATGACAGCTGGGGGATTGATACTCATATTATCTGCTCCATTGCGTGCCTCTTACCAGTTTACCTGAGTGCCGATTAGTATCTTCTAAGCTCAGTCAGAGACAAAAAGTTTCGGCTGCGGTTGGCGTGACGAAAGGTTTTTAAATATATATTCTACAATGAGATTATTTGATTGCATATTACTGAAAGTTACGCTTTATATGTCTTTTCCCATAGCACTATCCTTTTCTGATATTCGATAATATGACGCTATGGATATCTGACATAGTTTTTCAAGTGTGTAGATAGGTATATTCTTTTCCACGCTGTTCAAATGAGAATGCGCGAATATACCTAAGAATCGCTAATATTGGTTTGCAATGCGAGGAAATCCCATCTTGCCATTTCTGCCTCTCGCAATTGCTGCGTATATTTATCGGAGAAGTTCTGTGGCGTGGTTATCAAATGAAGAAAACATGTATTTTTTCTACTTCTCTACTACTCTCAAACCTTAACATTTTGTGAAAACTTTTTCCCATTCAGCCTGTTTTTGAAACATCCCCAACAACCACAATTAATTCTGTCATCAAACTTCCGAAACAAACACATAAAATCATCAACAGATGCATATCACCAAGTCCTAAGTAGATATTGCTAAATTGATCTTTATTTTACCATTTTTTATGTAATGCTTTTTGGTAAACCTGTTATCTATCGTAAATACAGCACATTTGACTATGCCTCACATTTTTGATATTAGTGGTTAGATCTCTTGGGGCTCCGTAAAACAAAGTTACATAAAAAATATTGGTTGTAAGTTGTAAAACATGATCATGCTGTTGGAATAACTTGGCATTTTACCACCCGTATATAATTCATTGTCGAGAATATTAAAGAAATCTTAAAATCTTAAACCCGTTTTCTTGAATTTTTTGGTGTAGCTGAATTCGAGGGACAGCATGACAACAGGCAAGAGAAGCACGGTCGCCTCTTTCAGTTTATGATATATATGGTTTCCTAAAAGGGGACTGATCGGTTATCTGGGAACACGAACAAACAAATGGAAATGCGAATATATAATAACAATGTATTTTTATAAAAGAAAAGAAGCAAAAGTGTTGAGAGTCTTTGGTAGTTTGAAAAGCATTGACATGGAACATAGGAATGAACTACATTGTTTCCCAGGGATATACTATAAAATGCAGCAATTTTCTCATACTTGTTCTCGTGATAGCATTATCTTTCACTGCATCGTCGTGATCATCTCGCTGCATAACAATCCTTCCTAGCAAATAATTGACTGTTCTCCACCGGGTGTATATCCACTTGAACCACTGCCGAATGCATTAGCAGGCTTGTATCGTTAATTGCAACAAAAGCGGGTATTTTAAAATAGTAGTCTTTATTTTACGCGTATGTTTCAACAATATTTCCATATATATGGGTCGCGACCCAAAGCTGGGTTTCAACAAATACCTAAAAGTTATTAATTTTATACTGTTAAATCGACTCATACTATTATAAATATTTACATTTTATTTACATATTTACATTTTATTTATCATCCACTTGTCTTCTTATATATTACTTTGAAATCCCTCTCCAAGCAAAAAAATATTATACATAATATAAAATAGTGAATATGGGGGGAGCTGACTCTGGTGACCGTATGGTCGTATCGCTCCTCCCAGTCTATACCGAATAACTTTATTGTTGTATATTTTTATTATTGTTGCAATGCTTGTTTTTCTGGTTGACAAATAATAAATCTCTCTCTCCTAGTAAATTTGGTGTTTCCGTAGTTTGTGCACCAAGATGGCGCACAACCTGAACATAGTATTGTAACAGGTTATGCGCCATTATGATGCACAGATTTGACGAAAAACACTAACGCAAATATTAAGCCGTAAAAAAACTGCTCAAAGCTGCAAACTCCACATTCATGTACAAATGATGGGCAATGACCCCAAGATGATTAATCATAAAAAAAAAACTTTATGTCTGAAAACAAGGTTGGGCCTAAAAGGGCCCCTTATCTGCCGAAATATCAAGACGAAATGTTCGCTGTATAAATATACCCCAGGTTTTGGAATCATAGCTAAAATTGAAATATAATTCTTCTGTATTTGAGAACGTCGATATGTGAAAAAAAGATCCAATATAACTATTAGTGGAGGTTGCACGAGACTGATTCCCAATCCTTTCTCAATGCCTTTACGATAAGGGATCCGTATACATGAATTGCATAAAAAGATCCGATAGTTTGACTGTTACAATATTAGAATTAAAACATCTTAGTTTTAATCGATTTGCATATCTTCTTTGATTACTTGGTATAACCCAGTTGTAACATACCAGTTGTAATGAGTTTGTTTGAGAAGCGCTATTGCATACCTAACAATATCAAGTGGAAATTTTCTCAGGATCGCAAATATATACTTGTTTTACAGCAAAATGCTCTTGCGGCGATTTTTCCTATGCGGCGAAATTTTCTGCGGCGAGATTTACTACGGCGAATTTTTCAAGAACCATTATCACGCTGTCTATAAAAAACAGACAAAGAAATATCTCCAAATCAATCAAAAGGTGGAAACCCAACGCGCAGATGGAAGATATTGTAGCAACTTGTTACAGTTATTTGAATGGGATGGGAACTTGGGAAAATATTGATTGGCTGAAACAAAGAACAAACCTTTCAATTGTTGTCAAAGGAATATAAACAGGTTATTTACCGAGAATATGTCAAATAAATGTTTATCGTGTAAGAAAGAAAAAGATGAAGTATCCGGTAGATTGGTCGTAAATGAATTGATTGTACAAATACAATTTTGCTTATTTTTATCGGTTTAGACTAGAGGAAATGACTTTAGAAGCAATTGAACATAAAGTTGATGGCATATTGGTATCAAATCACGGTGGAAGACAACTTGATGGAACGTTTGCCACGGTTTGTTAAATATGATGTGAATTTAAACTGACATACGGATTACTTTACATACAGGTATAAACAACTCAGACTTTCTGTATACTTCATTATGATAGTATCGATAATGCAATTACTTCGCGGCAATAACAATTCACCACGAATCGTAGTTAAATAAATATTATACTACTGTTGTACAATAATATAAACCGAATACGAAATCACCTTTTTTGACACATTACAGCAAAACCGGACTTCGATCAATCACTCTCATAAAATAGTCTATAATTGTTGGTTGAAAGTAATCAGATCAATTTTATGTGACAACTATAGGTGTGATTAATGAAAATGACTGTTCCGGCATAGATATGGCCGGTTTACAATTTTTCTATCGTAATTATGGTATCGCACGCAAGCTTTTGTATGTCTAACTTTAATAAACGGTTCAATATGATCTTCTTCTTTTTTCTCAAAGTTTAGATCGACGCTTTACCAGAAGTAGTAAAAGCTGTGAATGGTAGATGTGATGTTTACTTTGACGGAGGAATTTGAAAAGGAACTGACATCGCGAAAGCACTTGCTCTTGAGGCTAAAACTGTTTTCATCGGAAGGCCAATACTTTGGGGTCTTGCTTGCGATGTATGAATGTCTGTATATTTGATTTTAAAGTGCAATATAGGTATAACTTCCACACGGTCAAACACACTGGCAATCTGTACAATACTGCTCATGATTTTCGAGTAGAACTGCCCAGTATGAATGATTATGCTGGGCGACATGCATGTCGTAGCTTCTATAAAGCAGTGCTACTCCAAATGGGATTGTTTTTTGAAGCATCTTGGCCATATCATTAGAAGGAAACGATTCAATCCAAAACCAAAACGATTCTGGTTCCATAACTTTAAGGAAAACGTTTGTGTTTATTGTCCTGTTAAAACGATTTGATTCTGATTTATCCATTTTCATATAACAAACCTGATAGCAAATTACTATTTGTATAATATTTCACTAATTTGTTAATTTGCAAAGAAATATTCAACAGGGTGAAAAGGGAGTCAAAAAAGTTCTTGTAATTCTAAAGGATGAACTTGTTACAACCATGCAACTGTTAGGTGAGATTTTAGAATCCTCGACAAGTAAATCTGTTGGCGTGATTATGTAGATTTTTCATACCTTATAATATGGTTTCAATTTTTCAGGTGTAACATCGATCAAGGAATTGCAATCAACGCCTGATTTGGTTGTTCACGAGTCACGTGTTTTGGCAAAGTTTTGAAGAAAACAGTAGTTGTGCTATATTATAGACTAGTGATTAGGTATGGTGTCAATAGATTGAATCATGAACCTGCTTACTCGATTGATCGACCAAACTATTTAGCTCTTATTTATGGGGCACCTGATGCCACGCGAAAATAGGTGAAAACACCAAAGTATCTTTTGGTTGAATAATATGTTACGCCATGATGCATCACTTTCAACTTATGTATATATATACAGTATAGGTTGTTTGCATGTTAGCGTTGCATTTACGGTTAGTATGGTATGTTGGTATGGTATAGTATGTTAGTAGGGTAAAATGGTTTGCATTAAAATTAGACTACGAATGAAAGTACTTTTTTAACATATTTTCTGATTAGATTTTTTCACACAAATACTTAGCAATACTCTCTGAACATCTAATGTCATTCATGTACAGCTGGTTATTTTTGCTAAATATCATGGCGCAATCTTCAACTCCCCCCGAATCATTTGGTTCTCCAGGATACCACAAGGAAAGATCAACCGTTGAGTCTTCGACATTATCCGACCAAATAAATCGTCCTTCTTGTGTGACGTCATCCAATCCGATCCAGCAGCTTGAAATTGAACCCAGTATTACATTTTGTAGTTCCCTGAATAGGAGATTCAGAAAATTGATGCAATGTATCTTCTGGCAGGCAGATTGTATTTAGTAATTGTAACCGACATTGGCAATATCCATTTCAGTCATGCGCCTTTTTGGTAAAGATTTGAAAGCACTCATGCCCTATTGAAGCATAAGTTCTGAATGTGGGATTCAAAATACATGTATTATGAACCAGTACTGCTATACCTAAATGTAAAAGAGAATTTCAATTATATCGCTCACTCACTGAATAACAGTTGTGTTGCTTATCCCCGCCGAAACAAGTCTAGCATTGAATGATTGGCAGCTTTCTTTTGCATCTGGATAATTCTTTATTTCATCAAAAAGTCGATACCAGAAACCGTTGCTAGCTTTAGTCCAACCTTGTTCCTTCAAACTGAAATCTTTTTTCAAATCTGAGATATTTCAGGAGATTTCAATTAATGATTGTGCTAATATAAGCATTTTGGGTCAAGCAGAGTAGATAGTTTGAACTGATGGCATATATATATGTGTGACAATAAATGACCTCCTATATTATAAAAGGTTTTAATGAATTATATAAAACTTTGAACATTGTTAGAAGCACTCTTTGTCCGAACACTGATTAAAACTGCTGTTCGAACAAATCATGCAATTGTCTTCCTAAGTTGATTCTTAACTGACATGATTATCACAAAAATGCAATTAAATTATTTCAACTATATTATGCTGCAATATATTATGCATTTTTGCTTCGTTACACAGGAATATTTATATATATATACATGTTTTCTATAAAAAAAAAAAATTCGTAAATTCCTTTAACGTTAGGTCACAGATGCTCATTCGGAGAAATCTACACTCTAAGAAATGTTCGGTAAATTTTACCGTCATTTTAGGGGTAAAAAATTAAAAAATGAGGTCGGTAAAATGATTCACCGACAAATGTCGGTAATAATCACCGACATGGGAGGCGTGGCATTAGTCAATGTTGCGCGCGCACACTGGTTAAGGAGAGCAGCCAATCAGACGCTATATTTCAAACGCGTAATTAATCACGCGCGTTTTTTTGTTGCTTTACTCCTTAATTTGTCCGTTTGATTTGACGAATTCCAGACTTTTGGATTTTGATATTTGGTCGGCCGACAGTCATATCTTGGTCGCTTTTGTAATTACTGCAGTATTGCGTTGGCAGTATTTCTGTAAGCCATCTTGGATTCAATAATGTCAGTGTAGGTGTTGTGTTGTTTAGTGCTGGGTATTAATGTATTGTTCAGTGGGATTATGGCAGTATGGGGCAGTCGGGAAGTAGAGTAAGATCTATCGTTTCAATTACTGAATTAATATATATATATGATAATATGAATACATACTGACTATAACAGTACAGCAGTATACGATACTGGTATAAGGTTGATTGGACTAGCTTACATCAGTACATCCGCAGATCCATGTTACGCCTGTCGATACTTAACACAGCCAGAGCTTGATTCGTATTTCCAAATCTGAATTTTTTTGTCAGTAGACTGGCAAATGTAAAAATGCCGAAACGGCAATACAATATCTGAATATGCCCATTTTACAGCTCTAGACTATGAAATGTTAGCATCTAATTACTGAATCAAGATAAACCTGTAAACCGTCAAAATTATCAACAGCTTTATGATGATCGCAAACTCAGACTACTGGCAGGCTGGACTACAAGAAACACATGAACAGGCAGACAGGGGAGGGGGTGACGTTGCTCTACACCCAGAAACCGTGACTTGAAGAATGTGGCATTAAAAGAAACAGGTATCAATTAATTATATAGGCCTACTCATATAATTATATACTGATTCAGTGATTGAAAATCATCTACAGACAGACAGATTTGTATTTGATTATGATATTTTAAGTTATTGATTCTAGGACTAATTCAGAACAGTTTCATTTGAAAAAGAGCAATTTTAGGCAATTCACATTTAACTGTCATAAAAACACTAGATTTTCTTTTAACTTATGACACTATAAATAGAAAATTAATCAAAACAACATTTATCCACCTTATTCTGCATATTTACCAAAACCAATTCTATAAATTTTGTTGAATTTCTCTTTTGAATAAGACCGAATTTGAACATATTACATATAATGATGGTGGGGAATGAATACAATCCTTTTTAACAGTGTTTTCTTTTTAGAAACTGAAGAATCTGATTATGCAGGCATGAACAAATTGTCTGCCCCAACTCTGAACTATGAAAATGTCAATGTCTAAGGCTTCATAATATTTGAGATTCTTACTAACATGTTATTTCAAGGAAGAAGAATTTGAGGTTAGTTATAATGTTAATTTTAAATTGTTAAAGAGAAACTTTGTCATCTGCTCTGACAATAAAGTATTAGGAGTGTAATTTTTATTATTTAGGGACTTCTGAAGAATTTATTCCATTTCAATACTATTTCAGGTAGCCTACCTCTTCCATCTCATCTACAAAGTTTGGTAATACTGGAAAAGTCTGTATCGATTGATTGCCCACAGATTTTTGTCCTTGAACTCCAAGAGGAAAAGAAAATATGAAAATTTATAGAAAGGTTGGATATTGTAATGAATGCTAGTATATGCAATTGAATAATTTCAGATATTTCCAACTTGCAAAAGAATTAGATTGATTGATTGAATACTACAAAATGTTAAATCTTATTCGAAAATTAAGTAATATTTTTAAATTTTGGAGTTGTTTGGGAAAAACTCTTTGTACATTCCATTTCAGATAACTTGAAGTTATGGAGAAGAAAATACCATGAGTTCCTCAAAGCAAATGGATAATGCAATACAATCAGCATGGGAAACACTAACCCGGAAAGACTCCCCCTCTGCCATAGACTATTCTCTCTTAGAGGCTGTCTATAGAGACTTGTTTAAAGTGACTATGTGGACGGATACCCTGCGAGCATAAACTTCTTCAACGAGAAGTTTCTGTTTACCTCGCATTTCTAACTTTTCACTATACAATTTCTCATTTTTCCAAGTTTTCAATCATTCATTTCACGTTCACTTTTATTTTTTGAATAAACCTTGTTTCATAGAATAGTCTGTGATTTTTACTGATCATATCCTGTAAAATGTAATGCCAGGAGATTTACGGTACTTTTTACCGGGTTCTGAATGTAAATTCACCGAATTTGTAATGTAAATTCACAGGCTAGCGTCGGTAAATATTACTACGCATTGCCGGTGAAAATTACTAGAAAATAATTGTAAGGATTACTAGGAAAATCCTGTAAAATTTACAGGTGTTCAACAGCGATTTTACCGAAAATTCTTGTGATATTTACCTTAAAATCGCATTAAAATTTCACAACTACATTCCAGTAATATGTAATGCCAGGCGATTGCCGGTAAATATTTCTTAGAGTGTATAAAAAGCTGTCAAGATCATGTACATCATTAGGGGGAAAACGTGGAAAAATGAACATACAAAAAAACACTTCTAAAAGCCACAATTAAACTGCCGATGCTGGTTATTTTGCGTTGGAAAACAACTATTTACAGTTTTCATCATACGAAGCCAAATATTTCAAATTTTGCTGGTTTTTATATTCCACGGACACATCTTCACGTAACACATCTTCATGTAACACACCTTCATGTAATTCAGTGTGATTGTTTTAGGAATTGGCCAGAATTTAGCTGACTTTGCGTTGGATGTATTTAGTCATCTGTCTGTCGTGTTTATATCTCCAGCAATGCTCATTTGTGTGTTATCAGGTTCACGATATCGAGCGGATGGAATACTAAATTGTTATTCGGAAACGAAGTGTTTTTCGGATCCTTTTGCTAAATTCTTGATTATGTTTGATACGAAAAAATTGATTTCTTCACAACTAACAGAACATATTTATTACTAAAAGATGATTGAAGGTATTGGAAAGGCATTAGCTTTTTCCCCTGGCTTTCCGATAATTATTTAATTACGGGGGTGCTTTAAGTGAGTACCTTTTTATTCTGCCACACTCGTCCTTATCCTCCTCGATGACAGCAAAGTCGACTTGGATTACTTTTGAGGCCTCATCGTGATAAGGCACCAATGCATGGTATATATATATATATATATTCCTATTGGTCTCTTGTTTATATAACAGCCATAATATAATTTATCATATTCTAGTTTTTTTAATAGCGTAACATTTCTAATATTAATTTATTATTTTATAAGATTATACTGTTCCATCGTATATATTCTGTAGATTGTTTGGTTCTACTTACCAGATAATTCTGTTTGCAGCGAGTCTATTTTTCTCGACACATCATCGAATTCAGAGCAGTGACAAGGAAGACCTGGTTCTCCTGTAGGCCCCGGTAATCCAGGAAGTCCACGATTTCCCTTTTGACCGATTTTACCGGCCTTTCCGGAGGGCCAACTGCCCTTGTAGGAAATCCAAAATTTTTATTTGCTCCGTCCTCGTTTTGATCGCACGAAAGACGACAAGATCCAAGCTCTATACTTGCGAACCCAGGAGAAATACATAATGAACCACAAACTATGGTGAAAGCAAGTGTAGCTCTTGCAGCCATTTGGTTTTAGATTACTTTTATAATATAATGTTTGCCATAAAACTCTAACATGAATACATGCGTAATTCGATTAATATTCAGCAACATGTCGCAAGAGATATAATGCAGAAAGAGTTATAATTCTGATAATGCCCAGAACCAATCAACAGACAAAATTTTCTGTAATTTTCAATATTCTGTACTGTTCTCACTTCAGTATGCAAACCGGGATAGTCGAGTCAAATACTGTCGCCTTTTGTCTGGGTAGTTTTATGAAGCGCCTCAGAGTTGGGAGTCGGAATCACAATTTCAACGAAGACACACATGTGATTCAGCTTAGTAAATAAAAATGAAACGCACGATGAGCGCGTGTCTCTTGTCTGCTTTTGTATAATATAACTTATTACAATATATATGGACTGATTTGCTTCATTGTCGTTCGGTTAATGTTTAACTATACTTCCTCGTTGGTATTGGTAACTCGTCACCACGAAACTCGAATATTTGTCTTTGAAGTCGAGCGCAAAGGTAAATGACCTTTCCATCTTCCAGATTCACAAAACAAGCTTCGTTTGACCACTGCGTCAAGGATAAGCAAAATGGTGTACAGAGGTAAATAATGGGCCCTAAGCCTTAAGGGCCCCGACATTTAGCTTTGAAATATCAATCATTCAATTATGATATGATATAAATTTTATGTATCACTAATGGTTCATTTGTCGGTAATTGGGCCATTTCTGGTGTCATGAAGTTTTATTACAACTTGAGTTTGTTAAAGGTTTATTGAATTCAACTTACTATACAATCTGGTACTATACTTGGGTGATCAGCCTATCTTACTTGTAGTTAAAAATTCGCATTTGACGCAATTCACAATTTCATTTACGACGCCATATCACATTTTACACATCCTTAAAAAGTCAAATATGACGTCATAATGTAATCGATATAACGTCATTGTAAAAGAGGGGAATCACAAATGGCATAGCATAGGACAGGGATGGCGAACCTCTTAATGATTGCGTCAGCTTATATATTTTCATTATGGAAAAGAAGACAGTGGGTCATAGATATATGAGATATTTGACTATAATGAGAAACTCGCTGTCGCTTCGTTTCCTCAAGTCTTATATCCCCTGGTTGATGTTGTGTAGTTTTTCAGTTTTACACATGCAGCACCTATATCAGGACAGCGTTAATTTGGGTCAATAAAATTTGGTTTTCCATACGGCATTGCAAGCGGGAAAGGAATAAACTACAAAGTATGAGCTCGTTCCAATTACACTAAAAACGTTCTGCTGCCCTATTTGATTCATGTATCTCCGAAAGAGAACCGCTGTAACAAGAGAAATTGCGAGAAATGAACAGATCAATTTTATTGTTATGCCATAAACATTGTTACAACATTGTTGTCAGGAGATGCATACAGATATAGTTCACTTATTGTTAGATTGAATCAAGGCGTGTTTTATTATTGATTTTATTGCTTACATGTTACTATGTTCCTTGCATCAATTCGTAACTCGGCGGGTCTAAGGAAAAACATGAGCTTGTGACCCGCGGGACAGGGACTCGCCACCCTAGGCCTAGACTAGGACTCATTGTCGAAATCCAGCCCTGATTTGAGAGAAATGTTTGTGTTTAATGCTATGTTAAAACGGTCTTCAGTTTCGGTATATGATATTATGATGAAATGATTTGTTTTAAAAATTTGATTTTAAATAATATTAATTTCTCCATATTTTCTGCTTTTATTTTTTCACACAAATACTTTGTGGTATATGGACAGTTTCCATCATTTAGGTACAATCTGTTATTTTGTCTAAATACCACAGCGCAATCTTCTGCTCCATTCGCATTATTTGGTTCTCCAGATAACCATAAGGAATGATCAACAGTTAAGTCATCGACATTATCCGACCAAATAAATCGTCCTTCTTGTGTGACGTCATCCAGTCCGATCCAGCAGTTTGAAATTGAAGCCAATATTCCATTTTGTAGTTCCCTGAACAATCATGTCGTAAAATTATTGCCAGTATATGCAGTATAATCTGACAGACAAGACGCATCTCGTGAATAAAATCGACATTGACATTGCCGTTATTGCATTTTTACAACATAATCGAAAAGTTCTCTATCCTCTATCGGGCGGCCTTTTCGATAATGATTTAAAAACACTCAGGTCTAATTGAAACTCAAGTCTGTGTGGAACTCAAAACAGGTTCTACATTGTTTTATGAATCCGTACTTCCATATACCTAAATGAAGAAGACAATTTTATTAAATATTCACTCACTGCCGGACAGTTGCGTCCCTTATCCCCGCCGAAGCAAGTCTAGCATTGTGTGATAAGCAGCTTTCTTTTGCATCTGGATAACTCTTTGCTTCGTCGAAAAGTCGATACCAGAAACCGTTGCTAGCTTTAGTCCAATGTGTCACCAAGTTCTTGAAGACTTTCAAATACAAAGTTATGTAGATGTAATTGATTAAGTAACTGACGCCAACAAGAATATTATTATTGGAAGTCGATCGATGATCGATGAAGTTGTATCATCATTCTCAGTAAAGTTTTGTATATAATTTTTTAAACTATTCATAGCTTTCCCATAAACACCAGAAGTTTATGATACGGGTCAGATTTGTTTTTGTTGCTAAAGAAGAGGAAAGCAAATTCAATAATACGTCATAGTAATAAGACAACGAAAAACTATAAAAAATTCAGTGTGTAACAGTTTTGAAAGTGGGAATTTTGCTAATAGTGACATCTTCCTGGAATTGGTTATAAATTATAACTTATAATTACTGTATGTAACAAAATTACTTAAACTATTCTATCATATATATATATATATATATATAACTCTATTACGGTAGTTAAACGGACCTGCCATAATTGCAGTACTTAAGCCGACGTCGTTCCTGTGCCCGTATCATTGTTTTTAAATACGTGCTTGGAGAGCGCGAGAGCCGTTGACAACTACGGAGAAAAAGAGTCAACACAATCCTCTCGATAACAGATATAAAATTTTTGTCCGCTTAATTCGTCCACTTAATTCATACCACCAAATGTTTTAGCCTATTTCGGCACTAAGCCAGACCCCTCTTATATGTCGCCCTGGATGTCTACATAAATGATGTTGCTTTTATTTTAATACGCATTTTAAAGCGTATGACCTCGCTTTAATTTCCGATGGATTCGAACCATTTAGCAATACTTATCACAAAAAATAGCATTCTTTTTTCAATGTCCAGTCTTTCGTGCAAGGGAGATGCACTGTGTTTGGTGTTGGAAATAATCTTCCATATCAAAAAATACTCGGAATGCAACGTGATGGTAGACAAATCGAAACAAATTGATCCAAACGTGTTATATATTTGAAACTGAGAAATACACAGAGCATATCACAACTGTTCGCCTATTCCAACCCTATGGTGCAACATATAGATTAAACAGACGCTATGTTGTAAGTGTCAAGATATCAATACCAAGTCAAAATTATGCCATTCCAATAATATTGATAAACATTGCGCAAAATATACCTCAAAAACCCGCATATCTATATGGCTATAAGCGTGACATATAATTGAAAAACAAAATTTTGAAATGCCATACATAGGGAGAAACAATACACAAAATATATTTCAAACGTATCACCAATCTGATTGCTTAAGTGTGAAATATTATTTTAAAAAGGAAGTGTGGTATATAATAGTAAAATAAAATATGAAAGTGCTAATAATATTGAGAAACAATAAAAGAAAATTATATATACGCAGAAGGTAACCGCAGAATGAAATTCGGAAATGCCAATAATATTGAAAAAATATCACACAAACTTTATCTCAAATGTCCACCTATCCGGCCTTTTAAGTTATACAAATAATTGTAAATGGGAATTCTGGTATGTCATTAATGAAGACAAACATCACACAAATTGGATTTCAAATGTTCATCTATCCGGTCACTCAAATGTGGCACGTAATTGAAAAATGAACACCAGCCCTATTGAGAAACATTACACAAAATATATCTCAAATGTCAACTTATCCGACCACCTAAGGGTGGCATACAACAATTGAAAAAAAAGTCTTAAATCATATTGAGAAACATCACACAAAATATATCTCAAATGTCCACCTATTCGGCCATTTAAGTGTGGCATACAACAATTAAAATAAAAACTCTGAAATCATATCGAGATACATTACACAAAGTATATCTCAAACGTCCACCTATCCGGCCACCTAAGTGTGGCATTGAACATTAAAATGAAAATTCTGAAATCATATTGAGAAACATTACACGAAGTATATCTCAAATGTCCACCTAACCGGCCACCTAAGTGTGGCATACAAGAATTGAGATAAAAATTCTGAAATCATATTGAGAAACATCACACAAAATATATCTCAAATGTCCACCTATTCGGCCATTTAAGTGTGGCATACAACAACTAAAATAAAAACTCTGAAATCATATCGAGATACAATACACAAAGTATATCTCAAACGTCCACCTATCCGGCCACCTAAGTGTGGCATTAAACATTAAAATGAAAATTCTGAAATCACATTGAGAAACATTACACGAAGTATATCTCAAATGTCCACCTATCCGGCCACCTAAGTGTGGCATACAAGATTTGAAATGAAAATTCTGAAATTATATTGAGAAATATTACACAAAGTTTATCTCAAATGTCCGCCTATCCGGCCACCTAAGTGTGGCATACAAGAATTGAAATGGAAATTCTGAAATCATATTGAGAAATATTACACAAAGTATATCTCAAATGTCCACCTATCCGGCCACCTAAGTGGGGCATACAAGAATTAAAATGAAAATTCTGAAACCATATTGAGAAATATTACACAAAGTATATCTCAAATGTCCACCTATCCGGCCACCTAAGTGTGGCATACAAGAATTAAAATGAAAATTCTGGAATCATATTGAGAAACATTACACAAAGTATATCTCAAATGTCCACCTAAGTGTGGCATACAAGAATTGAGATGAAAATTCTGGAATCATATTGAGAAACATTACACAAAGTTTATCTCTAATGTCCACCTATCCGGCCACCTAAGTGTGGCATAAAACAATTACAATGAAAGCTCTGAAATTATATTGAGAAATATTACACAAAGTTTATCTCAAATGTCCACCTATCCGACCACCTAAGTGTGGCATACAAGATTTGAAATGAAAATTCTGAAATTATATTGAGAAATATTACACAAAGTTTATCTCAAATGTCCACCTATCCGACCACCTAAGTGTGGCATACAAGATTTGAAATGAAAATTCTGAAATTATATTGAGAAATATTACACAAAGTTTATCTCAAATGTCCACCTATCCGACCATCTAAGTGTGGCATACAAGATTTGAAATGAAAATTTTGAAATTATATTGAGAAATATTACACAAAGTTTATCTCAAATGTCCACCTATCCGACCATCTAAGTGTGGCATACAAGATTTGAAATGAAAATTCTGAAATTATATTGAGAAATATTACACAAAGTTTATCTCAAATGTCCACCTATCCGACCATCTAAGTGTGGCATACAAGATTTGAAATGAAAATTCTGAAATTATATTGAGAAATATTACACAAAGTTTATCTCAAATGTCCACCTATCCGACCACCTAAGTGGGGCATGCAAAAATTGAAATGAAAATTCTGAAATAATACAAAATATATATCTCAAATGTCCGCATATCCGACCACCTAAGTATGGCAAAAATTCTGGAATCGTATTGAGAAATCTTACACAAAATATATCTCACACACTTATTAAGTGTGTGAAATTTAACTAAAATACGAAATTTCGAATACTAATCATATTTTGATGTTGTGGAAAATTGCTAAAATTTATCTCTAATGTTCACCTATCCGATAACTTGAGAGTGACAAATATTATAAAACAAAATTTTGAAACCATATTGAAAAACAAAACAGAAAATAAATCGCAAATCGTCATCTACTCAGGTACGTAAGTGTGTCATGTAAATGCAAAATGATATTTTGGAATGGCAATAATATTGAGAAGCATTCAAAAAAAATTTCAACCATCCGACCATTTCAGAAGGTATGTAATTAAAACACGAAATTCTGAAAAAAATATCGAGAAACATTACACACAACATATCTCAAATGTTCAATAAAGTGACGTTTTCAGTGGGGCCTATAAATGCAAAACGAAATTTTGCCATGTCAACTAAAATGAGAAACATTACACCAATTATAACTCAAATGTCTACCTATCAGGGCGCCTAAGTATAGCAGTGATTATACAGTCAACTATACAAGCGATCAAAATGAAATTATTGAACCTCAATATCAATTTAGAATCTTTGCACAATTTATATAAAATTTTTGCACCAACTCGGAATACAAAAACATGATTGTTATTTTGAATTTATAATTAAATAGTAAAAATGTATGCTAAGTATGTATACGAATGTGGATATGCCCACTGGATTAAGTTGTTGAGTAGAGACATAATTATGCTCACTGCCGGTTCATCTTTATGAATTATACAGAGATGTCTTCAAGCTTTACAATAAACTTCTCGCAAGATATACAAAGCCGTGCAATTATTTTTCTTTTCGTCGTTTCTTTTCTGGTTCGCGTTTGTTTAGAAGCTTTTTTTTTTTAATTGATTTACAGCCTTTTTCTTTTCCATATATATGGTTTTCTTTGAAATCACTTACATTGCTTATTGAAAGTGATTCTGAAGATGGTGCGGTATAGTCTGTTGACTTATCTGAAACTTTGGTCAAAAATACATGCATAAGTCACAAAACATCATCACAGTGTTTTAGTCCAATTCAGAATTACGCTATTCTTGATTGATCGAACAAACGAAATGTTTGAAACTGGGAATTGCATTATTACTCAAATAAACCAGAGTTTCTAAATGGAGCACTACAATTATTCGTAGATAGCTGCGCTATTTGTGATGGGCTACAGGTGATATTATGATTTGATTTATTACCATTCATTGGTATCAATTTAAGATACCGTATTTAATAAAAAACAAGCATAGCAAACTCATTTAGTCACCTCCTGGCACAGCTTTCTCTGAATCACAACCCGCATTTCCGTCTGCCAAGTTCTGAAACGTAGGCCATCTCGTTGGAGAGTCACCTACATGTGAACAAAAAATACAGCCCAGTAAATAACTAGATGAAGATGGTAAAATAACACAGGGATATGTGCCAAATCACAAAACAAAATTGCTAGCAATGCAATTCTTCAAAACTGTTTTCCGAAGATAAAATATTCTAATCTAATATGAAGCGGTGTATTAGATATTTTTATTTACACCAAACTATACAAACATATACTGAGTGGCGTCAACCACTCGCTTCTCGTATATCCTTCTGTTTCGAGAAAAAATTGAATTCATTGAATTTTCACAATCTTCGTTTGTATTTTCATCTGGATTTAGAAATCCTTCTGAATTACACACCTTTACAAACGCAAACCCAGTCGTGGCATTATTTTGATGGTCAGATCAGGACTACGACCAGTAAAAGCATAACAGTATCAGTAGTCTATATTTTGATAATCTGGATTACGTGAAAAATCTCAACACCAAAAATATAGTAACCCTAATATTAAAAATCGTTATGACTAATCACCTTATCCGATGAGTGATGATTTCCAGCAGCATTCCTCGTGACCATGAAAACCTTGTTTCAAGTTATTATGACTCGACTCCAACTCACTGGGTAACTAATAACACCTGACACAAAAGACTTGAATCTCTTCTCCAAACACAACTGTTCTATTTTATCTAAATTTCTGCAATCACGCACTCATAAAGATCCCAATCCCCTCACGGCGTCTAGGTTACTTGCGAACAAAACGGCAATAGTGGTAAAGTTCTCGGCGAACCCGACAGTTTTACTATTGCGTCACAAAGCCTCCTTAGTACGGAGTTGTGAATTGAGGTCCTTTTCAGTTTATTGAGCTTATATTGCAAAAAACAGGACGGACGATCTTCATGTTCTGCCTGGTTATTGTATCAAAATTATCAAACCTATTCTCCAAAAATCGTAAAAACATATACCGAAAAATTAAAAGATTTTTGCATAAATAAAATGTCCACTTTATGTACGAAAATAAAATCCGTTGATTATAAACCAGCAGAACCATTGTCCCCTTAAAATTGGCGAAAATGTGCAGATATTTGAAAAATATTAAAGGAACATATTATTTTTGATACTGTTTTATGAGAGAAAAAGATATTTCAGCAAAATATCGCAAAACGTTTTAATTACGGAACGTGGAATAATTAAGCGGACAGGAAAATGTCTACCCAATTTTTCCGTCTACATAACTGTCGCTTTTTTAGCGCGGTATGTCTACTTAACTACCGTATTAGATATATATATATATATATATATATATATATTATGTACATCAGCGTTCCCCAGGAATGAATTGTTGATTTCTGGGAAGAAATACTGAAATATTATTTTATATTTAGGGAAGATGCATATTTTCAAAATGTGCAAATTGAGGAATTTATCAAAAAGGTTTTATATCACACAGTACCAGATAATTTTGTTTCCAGCGATTCTATTTTCCTTGACACAACATCAAATTCAGAGCAACGGCAAGGAAGTCCCGGTTCTCCTGTAGGCCCTGGTAAACCAGGAAGTCCACGATCTCCCTTTTGGCCGATTTTTCCGGCTTTTCCCGGAGGGCCGACAGCCCTTCTAGGAAATCCAAGATTTTCATTTGCTCCGTCCTCGTTTTGATCACACGAAAGATGACAAGATCCAAGATCTATACTTGCGAAACCCGAATAGATACATATTGAACCACAAACAATGAATAAAGCAAGTGCAGCTCTTACAGCCATTTGGTTTCAGATTACCTTTATTATATATTGTATGACATAAAACTCTAAAATGAATGCATGTGTAATTCGATTATTATTCAGCAACATGGCTCAGAAGATATAGCGTATACTGTAGAGAATGTAATGATTCTAATACTGGCTCCTGAACCTTCTTTAAATTTAAAATATGAGACCATCGAAAAACATTTAAGATTACTATATATAGGCTGGTGAAGCCATACAAATTTACGATCTATATAATTAGTTTTATAAAACGTATTGGAGTTGGGGTACCGGGGTACCCACTATATATGTATATTGATATATATTTTTTCTCTCCTGAAGTAATACAGAACCACTTGGTTTAGTATGGTAAGCTTGCCACGACCATGGACTTTTTTACGCTATAAACGTTCAAAATTTCTTCCTCGAATCCTCACTTCCCGAAGTCAATGTTTTTAATATTTCTAATGCTTTAAAGTTCACTCTGACAGTTACTCCCATGGCATATTCACTTTTCTACAACGAGTTATCTATACTGTAACGATATTTTAGAAAAATTATGGAAACGATTTGACTGATTAAAATTCATCTTGAGTACAAATAATATCAACATTATTGCAGGAATCAGCGATATTAGATTTGCAAACTCGAAGTCTAGACTTGCAGCAGTGCAGCTGCCTTATATCTTTCAACTGAGGAGCAAAGTTCATTTCAAAATTATGCTCAAAATATTTACTTTCCTTTTATTCCTGTAAAGTCCGTAAAATATAATAATTTTACACAGTTTTTTTGACAATAATATTCCATATTTGTATGAGAAAATTCACTAACAGTAAAAATGAGACAAAAACAAATACATTTTCATTGCAATTTTGATGAATATTACCAATAAAAAACTTATGACTAAATAATGTTTTGAAATCTCTCGAAAATTTAGTTGATTTGCTGCATTGTTTTACTGCATATTTAATCTTCAATTCAAAATTGCTTACTCGGGCATAATATATTTATCTTTGTCACAAGTTGGTAAATGAACCCGAATATATCATTACACAATGATTTTCATCTTATTGTGTGCCTATTCGACAGACCTTTATTTGAACAAACTCTAAAACCCCTATGCCGTACGATACTCGAAACGGGAGGTTTCACCTGATACTCACAGAGTTAAAATGACTCGTAAATTTCGATATAGCAATCAATATTATTTGTATCCCACGTCACAATCAGTGGTTCTTTGTATGTTGTGATAATCTGTAAACCAACACTTGTTTTTGTTTCAAAAGTTATATATCAGATTTAGATAACGCGTGTCATGTAGATGTAGCTCAAATAGTGGCATACATCCATATTTTGAAAATGGGGGAACCTGCTGGTAGTGAGTTCGACACGAAGAAGAAACCGTTTTTAAAATTTTGAAACCCATCGCTGCCTGCAATTTATGATTTAATATTATAGTTTCCAATACTGAAAAATTCTACAGCAGTAATACAATGCATTGGTTACATTGGACTCAATGATACAATACACGTTCTGAAATCTATCTATTTTATACAACATTTGCTACACAATGTGATATATTTAACTTGGGGCAAAAATTCATCTTGGAATGATTTTAATATAACATGGTTATTGTTCCCGCTCGCATATGTAAGGTGCATTTGCGTAGCCTATGCCACAAGGAACGTCGTTCAAGGATACTTCCCCTGTTACGTGGCGAACGATATTCATCAGAGCACAATGTTCGTTACCCCGAGCGTTGTTTGGTTCCCCACTGCGCCACAGAGTGTGGCGACGGTATCTGACGTCACGAATTCCATCTGACCAAATCCACCTTCTTCCTCTGTTCAAGTCGTCAAGTCCAACCCACAAGTAGGACACTGTGTCGGCTATACTACTCAGTAACTCCCTGAAAAGATAAAAATTAAAATCAATTAAGAGACATATTTTAACGGAAAACGTCAAATATTTTACCCATGTGTTATTTATTAGAACGTGTTATTTTATATTAAATCATGGCACAGACAGTTTTGGGGCAAATTTGATTGATGCGAAAAGTCCGATCAAGCACGTGTTACGCCGTTAATTTGAAGTAGAAAAAATGCGTCAAGAAAGAAAGATTAACACATATGGCGTGTTTTAAAATGAGAATTTCAATAAATAAATAGTACTTTCGTGTAGTCAGTTTTCTTATTCCCGCTGATGCAATTCTTGCGTTCTCTGCTGCGCAATTTTTCTTGGCTTGTAAATATGTTACATGCTCTTCAAAAAATCGATAAGCCAACCCATTGCTAGCATTACTCCAAGTCAAGAGTTTGAATTTTGCATGCTTTTTTAAATCTGGAATTGAGAGGATTAAAAAAAAGATTTTTATTAAGAAATGTGCTGATTAGTCAGACATTTTGCTTAAATAAAATAATTTTGAAGTTCAAGTCTTAAAGTTTGGGAGCACAATGAATAAATTCGAAAATGTATTCGTCTTACCTGCCAATTCATTTCGAAGATATTCCAAATCTTTCCTCAAATCTTTAAAAGCAGGGTCTGAACACCCGCACGGTGATCCTGGAGGTCCTGCCTTTCCCGGAGGCCCTTGTGGACCAGGCAGCCCTGCTTCTCCTGTCTGAGGTACGCCAAGCTTCTCCAAACAAATATGACATTGAGCATTGCCCAAAACTGTACCAATAAGCCCATAAAACAAACAAACAATCCCGCACAATGTAAAGCTGAACGTCATCCTGTTTCCAGGATTCTTCTAATTCCAAATATAAGTACAGTCCCTAAAGTATCTGAGTTGAAAAAAATTGTATTTAATTTGTGTTATTTAAGAATTAAATACAACATTTTGATAAAGAAAAAAGTTCAAAAAGTAGCACCATCTACTGCGACACAGACTAGACTGGTCGAATTTAAGCTATTTGATAGCATTCTGACGATCGTTGCATGTAGAGTTATCCCGTTAGAAAAAATCGGAATTTTATGTAGTATTTTAGGACATACTGACATACTGAAATTACCTAATTCGATGTCGAATACAAGTCGATTGAGTTTTATTGAACTGTTTTGCTAGCGATTGCCAATGGAGACTCGTACGTATATCAAGGAAGTTGTTCGAAACTGTACTTTCCATGAACTATTTACACGGGTCCATAGGTCAGTTTGTTTTATAATGCTTACAGAGGCTGACATTATTAAAAACATATGCACAAATAAAGATTTGAATCCTGACTCATATATTAGGTAAATTTTTTAAAAAAATAAAAAATTTAATTTAATGGAAAAGACAGATCCGAAGTAGATGAACAAGCACAAAAGGCATGCAATTCGATGCACAATATCATAGTAGTACCCTCTAAATATAGCTGATTTATTTTTGTGCAGAGGGATTTTTTAACACGACCAACCAGTAAAAACTTGGTGATTGGCCGGTCGACGCACCTACTCAGTGCCATGGCAAGCCCAAATTTAATTCGGCTTTCTTATCTACAGGAATATTTTTGCTTGTGACGTCATAAAGTAGATAATATTGTAAATTTCAAAATTATTCGAACTAAATTGTAATGCTCAATATAGATATGCATAACGTCAGGTACTGATTTTTATCTCGCTCAAGATGGACGAACAAGGATTTTTAAAAGGTGAGTAAAAGTTTCAGTTTAGTCAGAGATATAAAGTAATTTATAAGTTTTTGAAAACGAAAATGTATTAAAAATTAATATCAAAAATGGGACAGAGTACTTTCACGAAGTCATACTTTTTGTCGATATCTGCAGATAAAAAAAAAATTGTTAAGGTGTGTTGGATGTACGAATCACCATTAGGCTCAAAGTTCGCGTATTTACCATAATCATCTCCGGAACATGAGTTCGGTCTTTAGACAGCAAAATGGTATATTTATAGGAGAGAATATACTCTTTATTTGTGAATCGCTGCTAAGCTCATTTAAGAGAAAATGGATATTCGAGATTACGTTCCCCAATCATTCAATAAACTTCAGCTTCGTTACGGTGAAAAAAAAATATATTATCTTTGTATTTACAAATTCCGCTGTCATTTTTAACGAGTAGGTAAGGCAACCTAGAAGAAGGCACGGCACCCTTTAATGCATCTTCTGTTATTGTCTCAATTGCGTAGCTTTGTGATTTAGCGATTTAATGTATCACGTTGCCATAATAACGACGTCTATAATACCTTTATTTAATATATTTTGTATGCACATTACTACATAAATTGATCGCTCGGGAAATGTGCTATCTTTCAAACATGGCTCCATACATACAAGTTTATGCTTCTGTATTAAATAACTGGATAACTAATCCTATACCCGGCATGAACTCGTAACTGGACGAGAGGCCGTGGTTCGTCATATGATTAAGTCGTATTATCGGCTTTCTTCTCCCCGATATAAATATGGAAATCCCATTTTATATAAATATATATATTGTAGTAGTAGTCGTCAGATGTACATTTCATTGAATTTTCATGCTGATAGAACGCTCAAACAACGAACAAAAAGTAAAAAAAAAGTAAAAAAGTAAACTGCAATAGTCACAGACTTTTCAAATTTTGGTATGTTTTTTTCACATTTCCTCTTTTCTACCTTTGTTCTGAAAGTTCCTTGGTTGACTCTTTATTCATATTGTACCTTTTTCTTTCAGATCCGGATGCTTTTCTCAGCGATCTCAAAGTTTATGATTTCCACATTCTAATGACACGAGATCCGGGATTTTGTGACTACTTCAATAAATATTGCTTTCTACCAATTTTTGGTCAAAAAGTTGCATATTCAAATAAAAGGAAGAAATTTATTTACGATCCACCAATGCCTAGAGAAAAGCGAAAGTACAACATTGCCAATGATATTGTGCGCGATTGGTTGTACCAAAATCGTTTTCCCGACTTCTCCAAGTCGAAGGCGGCGGATGAATACAAACTTTGTGCTCTCATAATGACATCAACATCATGCGTAACAATGGCTAAGTATGATTCACAAATGAAACGAATTGCGGGATCTACACAATCAAGTGAGTTGATTAATGAAAATACTTTTGCTTTGCGCAGGTTGGACTTAGTGGCTCTTCTCCCTCTCTCTCTCTCTACCTGTCTTTTTTAAATACCTCTATATAACATCTCATTCAAATTTTATTTAACATTTTTTTCCTGTTTTAATTTGACCATTATTACTCAAAAAGCAATTCTCGCGAGCCATTTACACAGAACTTTTACAATATTTTGTGATTGCTTTGTATTTGCAATTTATCTTATAAGGTGCCACTGTCATTTTCAAACTTCTTTTCAGCTCAAGCTTTGATGGAAAATTTAGATCAAATCCTATTTTTCTGCTTCGGTGGCGTTTCTAAAATGGGAAGTTTCCGACGTTATGTGTATTCGTCCAAACACGGGAAACACTTGATTGCATTTTGGATGGACGCTGAACATTTACGAAGACTTTCAAAAGCTGTGATACAAAACGATACAACTATTTCTTCCGATCTTCGTCAAAGAAAAAAGTTATTACTGAGTGCAATTCAGTATAAATATTACAGAAGAACCAGCAAATTTGCACTTCCACTTCCTTTCCTGAAAGAAGTAATAGCAGGTATCATTTTTTATGTATTGCATAACATATAAATCTTCCATTTTATATATTTCATTCAAGATATTCATACGACAACAGGAAGATAAATGTAACAAAACTTTGAACCACTACCGAACTCTTATTAGCAAAACACTACACAGTTGATTCACTATGAAACGAAACAGTATCTATACGTCACAGAAAAATATTACACACGTTAGGAATGACAAAAGTGATAAATTGAGTGAGCAATTTTTACAGAAGTAGTTGGAGAAATGTCACTGCTTGTCGAGAGCTGTCTTCTGAGCAAAGATTCGAAATACTTCATATAAATAAAATCAATTTGACAGCACTTGGTATAAAATGTCTCAAAGTTAAAAACGAAAGTTTATCTGCAAATACTACAGTATTATGACAATCTAAATGTTTTTTATATTATAGAACAGGATACGAAGAGTGATCATACTTACGGTTTCGATTTCACGATGCAGTTACAAATAAATGTATTGAAAAAACTGCAAAATTATTGGGTACCAAGATTCATCTTAACCAATATCAGAATGATTTTGCAAGAGGACGAATCTAATTCGGATGATCGGGCAAGTCTTTGTTAGCAGATAGGACTACACATTGCAAATACTTTTGACGGCAACTCACACGATACCGGGTTGTCAGCACAAGTTAATATGCTCCAATCATAAAACGTATGGCAATACATAACCCTAAACCAGCCTTAGTACATTCTTTTTTCACAGCTATAAAAATACCTACGTATGTACCGGTATCAAATATACATCTTGTGATGACTGTGGTCGTATTGGCATTGAAAGGGGCCAAAAAGTACGTAAATAAATTAAATTTATCCCACCTTATTTTTAGAGCTCCCTAGCGCCAAGTATGGCATTCGAAGACGAAAATGACATTATGGATTATATTCTTCGCCGTTCATCTATGGTGCGATACATGATTGATCCCAACTTTTATCAAGTTCCTCCCACAGAATTCAAATACGACGAAGATGATGAAGATAACATTCTTATACAAGATGAAGTAAAAAGGTAAATATTCTCACAACTCTTTTTGTAAGATAGCTCGAAATAACGACAAACTTTGGTTTATAAACAGAGAAAGAGAGATAAAAGAACGGTCGCTAAAAGTGTAGGTGCACACTGCGGGCGTATGAACAGGATTTAGTCGTCAGCCGATTAAAAAATGACTTTAGTAGACCGTTCCGACGTGACGGCTTTTTTTTTCATTAGCTATCGCATGCATATTCATTCGCCATCATCATCAGTTGTATTTGTATTATTATTTCAGAGATATCTGCAGCGTCGCTTCTTCGAAAACAATAATCGGACGTGCTGAGATGGACTACATTCATAAATATTTTTTTGAAGATAATCTGCCAGCTATTCAACAATATAAAACGACTGAAGATTCGAATAATTTAAAAACAAAAGAACCATCCTCACGTGTTTTTATGAGAATGCATGGTGAACAAGGAGTTCCACTGGATGCAGAGTCGCGTTTGAAGGTATCCGTCACGCAGGTCAGTATCCGACAGAACTTGTGAAAGACATATCTGACTCATACTTTGATTTTTGTACAAAGTATCTAAAAATTGCAATCGAATATATATTATAAATATATCTATAAACACCCCGTTTTATAAATATTTTAATAAAAATTGTTGATTGGTAATAAATCTAAGCAAGTCACTCGTACAAAAGTTAATTAAAAATTTAAAACCCATATTATACTTAAAACTTACATTAAAATTTATCGAATCGAAATTTTCCACGCTATAATAAATTCAGGCGCGACAATCTATGCAGTCAGAAATATCACATCAGACAGAAGTTCAATCTTCCATTTCTGGGATGACTATACAGAACTCACATGTGTCATCTTGTGGATACGATGCTGACGATTCTTCAGAAGATGACGAAGTTTCTAGTAACAAAGAAACAAGTTCTTCATCTTTGAAATCTAAAACCCCAGGTACTGGTTACAGACAAACAATTGAGCAGATGTATTGGAGGAACAACAAATATAATTTAAGCTAATTTCCCAAGTCCAAAATGAGAAAATTTACTCTATTTACAGATTCTCACCAATCGACGAGTCACGTGGACTCAGCTGTTTCTTCTAACTATCCCTCAAATAATGACTTGTCGTCATCAAGTCGGATAACAAGCGGTATCAAAGGAGGAGTTCCAAAATCTTTAACATCGTCAAAGTCAACAGAGACATTTAAAATTATAAGTGAGCCTGGCACATCAGAAATGACAAGGAGCAGTGAAGTTGTAAATGACAAAATTCTGATTCGTAGTGATCACCAACAAACGTTTGCTGAGATTCTTACTTCTGATGAATTGTCAGGATTTGTATATCGATCCTTTTTGGCAACTAACGACGATTGTTCTTCTTTTGAAATTGATCGTTTGGATTCCACTTCAAGTCTTTCAACTACAACCAAAAGACGAAATAAATCAGGAAGCAAAAACTTCATAACAGACAAAAAAATCTTGATGGTTGTTTTGGATTTTTGGAGAGATGTGGAAGAGTATAGAAGGAAGTATTCCATGTTGGAAAGTCACGAACTTCAATATGAGGTAAAACTGCTCAAAACGTTACCAAGCTATTTAAACACAACAACATTTGTTTAGAATAGATCATAAACACTGTCAATTGAGCCTGATTTTTTCGATTGAGCAAATGCTCAACTTTGGTAAAACGTAATCGTGTATAATTTTAGAAATAGAATCATGAAACCAGCGGCTCTGAATCCAGTATAGACTCAAACGAGATGCAGGCATTTGATTGTGCTCTTACTTGAGTTTTTCTCAAATTACCACTTTCCATTATATGACAGGCCAGATGAAAGCTGAGCGAAATGCGCGTGACAGTCGTTTTTGAGGCCATAAAATTGAGTAGAGTGTTCCTATCTACTATTCCCTTCTCGCTGTCTATGTGGTATCGGTTGCGTATATACCGATCGTACATACGGATATTTTATGTCTTAAGTTAGCTATACACAAATTAATGTATATCAGTAGGCCAATTAAGTTCGGGTTATTTCATCAGCCACCTTTCCCTCGTCGTAATCCAGAAGATAAGTGATCGCACTAATTCATTTTCTATCTTCTACTTACAGCATTGGGCGATTATGCGAACTTATGTCTACTCGGAAATATTATCTGATTTGTTCTCGGTTTCTCATTTATTGAAAAATTTACATCAAGCACTGAAAAATTTACCATTCGGTGACCCTGCTTTATTCACTTCAAAACTACTGGATCTCCAAAACAATATTCAGCAGGTATGTGTGAAAGCAAGTATATATTTAATACAAATGCACACAAATTAAAATATTATAAAACATAGTATAGTTTTGTAGATTGTTGTTTACAGCTATATCAAATGAATTTTCAAATCTAAAGCAATAACTGATACGTCCAGAACTAGTCAGGATATTTACACCCTTTAACTATAGTATATTTGAAGCATTTTTGCAGTTTTTTATACATCGAGTGCTTTTTGTTTTGGTACTTCAGGTGCTCGAATCTGAATGGGTTCTTTTTGCATCAGAAGACAGATATAAGTTTCAGATATCTGTGGTAGGTATTCGTTCTTGTTTTTTCACATAACTTCTGCTTAACTTGTAGTGTAGGTGGCCCAATCAATACAATTGTCGTTTTTTTTTATAAAAATTTACAGAGACCTTTAGTATGGAAAATCGGAAGACGAAGAAGTTCGTTTCCCAGCTGTGTGGAAGAAGTTCGGAACATCCCGATATTCCGAGTAGAAAAATCATACAACGACCACAGCGACGACGATGCAAGAAAAAATACGGACAAAAGAAAAGTAATATATATATATATATATTTCAGTTTAACATTTTTTTTTTTTTATAGATAGCAGAAGTAGTATTAGAATTCCGTTTATCAAAGCCAATTCATATTACCCGCAGTATAGAAAAGTAATAATATTAGTATAATAAGCTTTTGAATTGGCAAGTTAGTATTAGTAAGCCACATCATCTTCTTTCATTCAACACCCTTTCAAATTTAATTCATTGTAACACACACTCCGATCTTGCTCATTTTTTCGAAAATTGTTTTTAAATATCGCTTGATATCACTAGTGTTATTTACATGAAGTGAGTAAATAAGCTTACCAGCGACCATCAATGAAGCTGTTTTCATTTAGGTATCGGTCCTGCAGTTTGTAGGCCTACTACAATCCAATTTCTTTTTAAGCGCAGTACCGAATTTCTTTTCTCAGAGCTATATGCGACGTCAGTCACTTTCTGCGTTTCTCGGAAGCAGACAATCCTTCAGAATGAAATACAGGTCATCACGGGCTGTTCATCTCCTACTGATGTGTGTGAGAGGAGCCCCATACCCTTTTCACAAAATTTATGGGTACAGTAACAACGATCAAGATTGTGATGTTCGAGCTGATTTGGACAGCGACAGCGATGGTTCTTTGCTGCATGTGCCCAGGAGGAAGTATTATAGATGTAAGTCTATCATTTATTACATGTCAAACAAAGCTATTGTTCAGAGATCGAATATTGAAATATGTAGGGGTGAAAACATTTAAGATTCGCTGCACAAAAGTAATGCGTAATGCGTTTAAAAAACTGCATTTTTGGCTTAACATTGCGCCTTTCCCTCTTTCAAGTGAGAGGTTGGTATTTTGCATTGTCCAGAAAAATAAAACAGTCTTTAAATTATTACGCAGCTACCACCACATATATCTGCCGATGGCGACCGTCAAAAAAAATCTTCCAAAAATGTGTTCAAATTCTATAGTTTTAGTTTCTTAATATAATTTCCAAAACATCAGTGATATTTTCCACAATCTTGAACAAACTTTTTTGTTTCTGCAGTTCCAAATATTGATTCAAAAATATTAGCAAAGATGAGCGCTAAAGAATATCCGAGACAAGGAATTGATTACAGTAAATGCAAAGTAATACGTGTTGTAGAAAGACATCGAGTAAATAGGAAACCAATGTACCTACGTCCAATAACAAAAGGTGGAACTGTATTTGAAAGACCATCAAAGAAACCCAAGTAATTTTTAATTTAAAATTTGCTCAAAATGGGAACATGGGAAAACAACGCGGTGTCTATAGGTGTGGTGTTGTACTTGTCTCCTCACCCACAGAAAATAGCATGAATTATACAGAATACTTATGCTGAATTTAACCATTTGCCACACGATATATATTTTTCCAAACTTAGAAGAGGGAGACAAGTGCCTAACAGTACGACAAGTGTGGTACACGTGTAGCAAAAGGGCAATTGTGGCACACGATATTTTTGAGGCACCACAAACAACTATAAATATGATATATATAAGTATTTTCCATCTAATTATTTTTTGTTTTTGTTAGAAATCTACTTGAAATTCTGCGAGATCCGACACATTTCATGTTTTTCAAACGTTACATGCGAATGCAGAATTCAGAAGCTCCCTTGCTATTTTGGAAGAGTATTGATTTGTTGAAAAGAACCGATCATGCAGCTTCTCGACAAAGAAAAGCTCAAGGAATAATGAAAAAGTTTTTTTCAAAAGCAGCGGGTGGAGGTAACTCGTTTCACTTTCCCATCAACTACTCAGTTTGCTATTGATCAATATGCTATACATATATATTTACTGTAAGGTCCATTTTCAATCCAAACACGTATAAGGTGCTTCTTTTTTCCATGAGTATTGCTTCATATCTCTTGATCGTCATTAGAGTTATTTCAAATAAACTATACATAGTTGTGTGGATAATTGGTAAATAAAGTTTCTGCAAATAACGATGTTACGTACTAAAATTATATTTAACGCTAAGGTGTGCTTCTTCAATGTGATGACGAATTAATAAAAGAAATCGGAAGAATAGAAAGCGTTACGACATCGATGCTGGTAGAGGCTCAAGGTCTGGTGTATGCGAGCATGGAAAAGAACTGGTATGTACGATTCTACTCTATAAACAAAAGCACTATTTGGTGATCGGTAGACAAAAATATAAATATAAATGTGTTCGATTCCTATGACCAGGGGTGCGCGATATTTGAGAACATTCCAAGATGATGTAGAAGAGGAAGAAGAAAGGGAAGAAGAACATATACCCACTAATGATATTACACAGGTTTGGGTTGATTTATAAGTAAACGGGCGATTACGTTTTTTTTTAAATAATATTTTATGCACAAGTTTTTTCCAAGAATTTCAGTTACGTTGAATCTACTACCTCATCTGTCTTCCTGATCGTTCAATAACGCGCAACTCTGTGGTATCATTCTTTATATTTTCAATAGCTCTTGACACTTTATTATCGCCCAAAAATTCGCTCAAAAACCAATGTTCTTTATTTATAAGTGAGAATACGCGTCACCTTTCTCTGAGCAAGTTTCCGTAAAATATTACAATATTTAACTCTACAGGCATTCTGTCCTATCGGGTTATCAGCTTTGTTTTGTTTTTAAAACTATTTCTCAGCAATACCCGAAGCCATTTTGAACGAATCGTGAGTGACGCAGGAATTGGTCATGGCTCTTACCGTGAAGTTACGGATGACGCAAAATAATGGCAATATAACGTAGAATCATAGATGATCCACTTACGCTTAGATAGGTGTACGCTTCAGCACGGTCGCTGTATGATTAAATCTACTCTCGTTCCTATGTATTTTCTCCTTTTCTACTCAAATCAGTCGTCATCAAATTACTTTTAACTAAATCCTGATGAATCATCAACAATATCTATAACTTCGATTATTAAACTTGGCGCAAATTTTATTCCAGTCTCGACCTTGGAAAGTGTTTGGAGATTTTATTCGCCGAGGAGCAGCGTTTATGCGAGCTATGAGAAATAAAGTGATTTTAGGAGAATTTTGTAGCTATTTGAAAAATCTACCATCTAATGTTGATATCATGGCTACAGGAGGTTTGTAGACTTTTTCAGTCATGTAACACAACCTCTCTATCGTTTTATTGGTTACCGTCTCCTTTTTCTCCGCATTTTCGATCTTGGGTTTAAAAAGAGTTAAAATACACCAGTAACCGAGTTACATTGCTAATATGGTTTGAGCATTTTTTTTTCAAAAATACCCAATTATCTGGCATACTCATACCATTGCTAAATACAGATTATTTGCAGATGCGAGTAGCTCCGTGCAAATGTTTCAAACTGCTATCCTCAGGAACAATGATGATGATGTGTCTCAACGTATAACTGTTCGTAAAATATTAAATAACCGCGTAGTGCTGGAACATGTTCAGAATGACTTACTTATGTGGATGGAAGTGGACAAGTAAGAAATTTTCGTTTATTACCTCTGAAACTGAAATGCCACTGTTGTCATGTAACGGACTGCCCGTAGCCATCGAATTTCTTAATTTCATAAATTTACAGTGTTGACTAAACTCTGCTTGATTTACTTACCTGGTTTTATTCTGTATAACTGCGGATCCTTACCACTTCACAATATAACCATGTGAATGACTAAATCACCTTCCAATTTCCCCAAACTAGTTTTCAGGACAGAAGCACTTTTGCTTCCAGTAAGTAATTCAATCGAAGAGGGAAATCCCCCATTCGTCTGCGGTCTGATGGCTCTTCATACAATCCTAAATAATCATATATTTCTAGTAAGATATTTTAGTTATATAATTTGGTAAAACCATATATACGGTACTTAGCGACAATAACAATAGTTCCGTAAATAAAATGCCTGATCTTCTTAGTTAGATATTAGAACCTTGCGTGTCGCTGCTCCATAACCAGCTTTTGTTCCCCACAGCTTTCTTCCCCAGTAAAACTGTATGATTATCTCTTTTTTTAATATTGTATATGATTATTTTTTACTGGTTGGAAAAATAGACTTGACTTGAATCAAAATACACAAGCACACAATTTTGTGTAGAAACTTCGGTTCTATGCGTGCACACACAAATCCTTCTAATAATAGTACATAATATGATCGTGTTAACTACATTGGTATCTGAGCTCAGAGTTCCGAACTCAGATAAGGGATACGCATATAACACAATATCACCAGCTCTTTCAGATTTGAAATTGCCTAAGCTGTGTCGAGTCTTTAAGTTGCCCGTGAAGTCTTTCTGGAACAAAAAAAAATGAGGAAGCAACCTTTAATGAATCTTTTGCTCGAATTTTTTCTTCTTAGATTCAACACTCTTCTAGAGAATGCTCAGGCTCTGATGTTAAGTGGATGTAATGATAAAAGTGATCAAGAAATTGTCCGCGCAAAAGCACAAAAAATTATAGAATGCTTTTTTGATTCTCCTGTTTTACCAAGATTGAGGGTGAGCTTCAGGTAGATTAGCCACAAAATAATTACACAAAGAAAAATCTGAAAATAAGAAGAATAAGACGGAGTTTAAAAAAAATAACAGTGCAATTAGCAGATTGTCTTGCAAAGTCATAAAAATTGATATTTTGCTTGTTTTCCATTCCATTTACAGCACTTTTCTTTTCGCAGGTAAATTCCAATACAGATGTTTCGAATAAACTAATTGAAGCTTATCACGCTGGAGAAATAGATCGAGCATTGTTTCATTATGCTGTTATATCCGTGTTTCCTCACTTGCTTCATTTCTGGAAAAAGTAAATATTTTTCATCAAAATTTCACGTAATTACTTGGAATTTTATAAAATTATATAGTTGTTATTTTCCTATCATCAATGAATGCTAATATTATTATATTAATTTAATATCTTATTTATCAAATGGCTAAATATTCTATACCTATGCAAAGTGCTTAATTTGTATAGAAGGAGATTGCACTCATTACATTTCTAACTAAATGCCTATAAAAGTATTTTATCACCAACTTTGATCCTTTAGGGAAATTAAAATATTTTGTTTTTTAGATATCGAGAGGAAAAATTCTGTTATTTATCAAGAAAAGCAATTCGAATGAATAGACACGAAGAAGTAAAGCGAAGACGAGAGTCTATTAGCAGAAGAAGGATAAGGCATTTTAAAAGACTATTAAACATGAAAACATCAGAAAAGTCGTTAACAGATTTGAATGCAGGATTCCCAGATTACGTTCATGGACTGAGTCGATTGAAAAGTCCATTTGAAAGGGTTAAAGGCATAGTTCGTAAGTTGGTATTCCTTTTTTGTATCTGGTATTGCTCTATATCATTCGGCTTTGTTGTCCCTGTGATATTTTGTAGTTATTAAAATAATAAATTATGATGTAAATATAGGATAACGATTTTTTCAAGATTCAACCAATGGTTTGGCTTTTTAAATTTGCAAGCGTTGACCTTTTATATTCAATCTCAAAACTTCAATATTGAAAAATATAAAATAAAACCATTGTAAAGACATTAGACAGTTTTTTTTTTAATTTATACAGATGACGATCTTCCTACATTGCACTTTTCTTTGCAACATGGATTGAAATTTATTATTCCACCCAAACGAAAAATGAGTGGTCTTGAAGACTCGGAGGAGGAGGATGAAGGCATTTTTATGAAAGTTTGGACAAGGTTTGACACCTATATGTTTCTTACAATTTCCAAAACGCTGTTTATCCTTCATCTGTTTATTAAATTGGTTATTGGCTTAATGCTAAGTACTTGGCTTGTTTTTACATCAATTGCTGAAGTTAATAATATGAAACAGTTTTTATAACTTTGTTATATCTTTTTCAATAACAAGCATTTACATATTGGAAGGTGACAATCCACAGGTATACCCCCCCTCCCCCCGCCCGACTATTTCATTAGTTGGAACACGGATGGATATGTGGTCCCAATAGCCAGTGAAACTTGCAAAACCAGTGGCACTTCATTTCAAAATTTCACGAATCCCCACTGTTGATTGAGCTAACACAATCAATTTAATAAATCTATCTAGCCCTTTTCAATTTTTAAATATGGTGTATATTAAGGGAAGTAAAATAAATCAATATCTCTATTAACATACTTCCCATTGATAAACCCACAACCCATTTATTTACAGAGGCGCGAAGCCAGTCACCGTCCTCGGTGTCGGATCCAATCCAAAGCTACTTAATACAGAGGAACGGCAAAAGACCAATTACAACGTTAAATGTGATTTAATGGACTGACTTTAACATGGATGTCGATAATACTCCAGTGAAACATTATTATTTTCGACACAGGCTTTACAAATATTAGTCATCTTATGCCTTTTTCCACCATCGAGAAAATAAAAATATATCTTTTATCTAATTTACTTAAGGTGTATCCAGAAGTTGGGTATATAAACTCAATGCCGATTCGGCTCGCGAAGTCAAAATTGTCTTTCAATTGAATTGATATTTGAATATCAGTGGATTCTGGCTTGGTCGTCGTCAGCAGCGAAAGGGGAAAACACATCATGAAAAACCTGGATTAAAATATCTAAGAACAGTATTGCGCAGAGCTTTTCAGCCTTCTCAGGATGGTATTTACATATTTATTCCGGGGGAGAGAAAATCCGCTCAATAATATGACGAACCACTGCTTCGCTCCCAGTTAGCAGTTCATGTCGAATATGGAATTAGTTAACCATGTATTTGTTTCGGATGCATGGACTTTATACAGCACCCAAAGTTTGAAACGATCTATCGACCCCAAGAATGCTGAGACGAAATTAAGTAGTATATATTATACTGACAAGCGGGTAACTAACAATTTATACGCAGTGTCCGCGGAGTATAGCCTTGTGCACAAACAATGGCATGGATGAGCTGACAAGTGCACGGGTATCAGCTATACCCTGGGGTTTTAATCGGCATGCACACTTACTTCTCTAGTAGCCTACGGGAAAATACAAAAGTCAAGTGTTCGGAAAATCCTGTGGAGCATAGCGAAACCAAAGTTGACGGAATGCGGTGCAATTGGTTAGGTGTCTTGAGCATAATTTTATGTGAAAAGTTTATTTGCTATAGATTCATTTATTATTATTGATGTTATCCAGGATACCTACAAATGACTGGAAGCTTGAACTAATTTCTGCCTCAGATTTTGGGCAAAATGACCCTCCTTTGTTTGATTAATCATAAAAATTGTACAAAATTTAAAACTCATAATCAACAATCGAACAATAAATTATTATGAATATAACAATAATGAGAAGCATATAACTGTTTTGACAACGTTTTACACACTATATGTCCATGCCCCACACATATCATGTTGTCAAATCCGAGCTTTTTTCGGTGTCCATTCGTCAATCGAGTGATGTTAACAGGATTGCTGCTTAAGTAGCCTATGCCCTATGCCTATAACATTTATCAAATTGTCACACTCAGTAAACTCTCGCGTATTGGTGGCGCACCCCACAGTTTAGGAACCTCTGCATTAGACCACCAACTACTGAACCTCAGTAAATGAGTGCATTGGCCGCCAGTAATATAATATACTAGTAAGGTCTACATAAAAGTGATAAAACCCAACCTAGAGCCAAAATTACCTAAATTCGGGTCGGAAAAAAACATTATGACGAAACAAAGCAAGTGATTTCATTATTTTGCGGACGTTATAATGATGACGCAACAATGAATCAATTTTTTGTTTATTTCTAGTTGCTAACACGTGACAAGTACAAAATAAAATGCATAATTGGTCTTAACAACAATTGGCTGTATAGGGCGTAGATTTCACTCCACGGTAATTCACAAGGATGGACCGAGGCCACCTGTCTACAACAGAACCTGCAGTAAATACTAATGAAATATCAAATGCTGTTATTAATCATATTCGTGGAACCGTATCACTGCAAAACGAAGTTCTTGCTCATATCAAACTGGTTACAGAAACGTTATTGAAAGTCAAAGATCGCGTAGAAAATATGGTTAAATGTCTGGTCTGTGTTGAAGATGTTGAACCTTCGTCGTCGAGTTTAGCGGGTGATATAAAGCAGACCTGCTCTCAGCTGTATATTCTTGAACGCCACCGGGATGCTGAATCACGAAGACTTCAAGGAAAAGTTGTGAACATTTTCGGTGGACTTGTTGTGAAAGAAAGACAAGATAAAGCGCGGAATGAAATTGAAGAAATTCTGAAAGAGCTCAAACGTTGCATGTCTGAAGAGAGAAAATCAATGCGACAGTTGAGGAAATCGGCTTACCTGGATAGTAATGCTGAACCATTTCCCATGTTCCCCGCTGTTTTATCTCTGAAAACATCAAAAAGTACATCGTGGGATCTTGCAATGAAAAGAGCAAGTTGGAAAGAAGCTCACAATCAAGTCGAAAGCGTCTTTTTGAGACTTGATGAAAAGTGAGTTTCCGTTACATGAGATTTGTTAATGCGAAGTTCTTCAAGTATTTTGACTCCGCCAATATCGGAAGATTCGCGTGTCTCTGTGTAGAATTAGTAAGATTTATTGATCTCAATACATCTATAGCACTTGAGAAGGAAATTTAGATAAGTATTTATATTGGTTAGGGTCTAGGTTACGGAGTCGAGTCTGCCGCTTTCTAATTGGCACTGGAGAGATGGTCTCCTCAAATTTCATTCACGCTTTTTTGTCATCTTGGAATATATGTCAAAATTTTGCAATGGAATGAGACATGGTGTGTGTTGTTTAATCTGCTAACAGTTTTTTGAATTGAACTTCACCCGCCCCTCAGTAAAAGCTACATCTTCTGGAGTATCGTAAACATTTTGAAAATATTTCTGAATAATAATAGGGACAAGACATAGAATCATATAACTGTAGTGTTTGGCATTACATGGTTTTTTACTGGTCGCGCATTTACGTATGTTTTTCTTTTTAGGTTGAAAACGATGGAATTAGAAAAGGATAGAAAATTTCGAGAAATCATGAAATTGTATATTGAAATACAAATGGTGTTTCACGCAAATGCCTTGGAGTTACTTACGGATGCATTCGGCAAAGCTAATCCCAAATCCCGCAACGCTTCAGAGACAGAGGAAACGGACTGGCAAGCTACAAGAAAAGAATTAGGAATATCACATATCGAGACTTGTATAAATTCATATAAGTCAGAAGGAGAAAAGTTTTGTGAGAAACCGGTTGGGGAAACAACAACAGACCCAACTAAACTCAATAATTCACCAAACGAGGAAGAAAGCAATAAAGCTGGCAACTATGATCAAGATGTAAAAAACGAAGACGATGATTACCGAGCTGAAACTTTACAACACGCGTTGTGTGCATCTCCGCAAATCAGCGATCAGTATGAACAGTCACCGCGAACACTGAGCTCGGAGTCTCTTGAGTCAGATGTGGTGCAATTTGCACGCGATAACATTAGTTAGCTTGCAAATGGGAGACATTCAATTGCATTTATTTTGTACGATAATATAGCTATATATAATATATACTTAATTTATCCAGTGCGTCCGTCTTTCATTTGTCTAAGTTTTGTCAAAACGCGAGACTTTCGTTTTTCTGATTCAAAATTGGCGAAATATGGATGAAGTCTACTGCTACTCTCGGCTGCGGGTTGAGAAACATTTCTACTCTGAATTCAAATACATTTCTTTAAATCCGGTTGTCGATTTCGAATTTAAAAACTTAGCCTTTTTGAAGTATTATATGTATATTTTCTCAGATGTAACTCGAATTGCAGTATTTTTTGGGGTTTCCTTCAATGACGTCACAACAAAATCGTGTGTTTCACTAACAATGGAAAAGTTCAGTTCTGACAACTAATTTTACCCCTTTTTAACTTTTTAATAGAAAGCTATCATCCAAAGTTTAATTTTGCGTTAGCATAATTGCCTTTTAAAATTGTCAAGGATATAAGTATATAACTAATCAACTCCATCTCCATTACTTCGCAAATGGTTCAAGGATTGATTCCTTTCGGTCCTCAGTGAGTACACATATTTGTTTTTGGTGTATCACGTTAAACGCAATGTATGAATGTTTATTTGATATTTATTATTCAATTGTATACTAAAAGAGTGTCTGTTCGTTATATTTATATTTCGCTTTGTAGACGAAAACGACATTTATTTCCCTATATTCTAGGAATTTGTACACCTTTGAAAATAAAGCAAAATATGCTACGATACATATATTTTATTTTTCTGAAAACCTCGTTTAACAACAATGTACATGCAATTAACATAGACAGTCACAGCAGGCTATAATAAGTCATTTAAATAAATGTGCAAGTATGACTGATGTTTGTCTTTAAAATGCGGCAGTTCATAGTTTTATGCAATTTAAAATGCAGAAGGTAATGTGGCTCCAGGAGTTGACAGAAGGGCATCGAGAATCTGGATCGATCTGGATTGAGCTGGTGCTTGCGACGATCGTTCTTGTTTGTGAATTAATTTGTATACTGGAGTGTCCTTGTTGATATCAATGTGATTTTCACTGTTTTGAAATAACGAATATAACCTTTAATCAATATAAGTTATCACGAATTTTATAAAACAAAAATCAACTATCAAGCTATATCTCCAAGTATATAAGAATTTCAGAACTGCTTTGAAACTTCAGAATAAGTCACCTTAGTAATGTTATTAGTTGCTCTGATAATTTACTGCAATTGTCAACCCTCATACATGGGCATTAGATTCTTATACTGTACATATATAATAATTACCAGAATGTGTCTGGATTAGGAACTTTTGCGCCTTTAGCTGCAGCTGTTCCAACCAACGTGTTGACAATTTGATTACCACTGTATAATCCAACGGGAGTATTGTACTGAGCATGGACAACGGTTGCAGACAGAGGTCCTTCAATTTCTATCGGCTGATTTGGATGAGCTTGAGCAGCAGTTTTCAATTTGTTACCTGGGTCTGAGCTATTGACCAGAAAAATAATACGTATGTAAATCGAATATGCATTATAACACAGTCGCTCTAAATCAGGAGTTCTCAACGGTTTTTACCACTGGTAGTACATTTCTACTTCGCAATGGGTACATTTATACTTTTCAAGGGGTTCATTAGATCAAGTATAAGGATATTCTGTCCGTAACTCCTAATTTGCCTTTAAAATATTTTTTTTTATTACCTGCTAATAATAATTAAAGACCTGAGTTTAGGGAATTTTTAGTCACATTATCATCAAAGTAGAAACTGTAGTCGAATCTTGAATTTTCTCTGTACCGCTGAACCGAAAGTTTGAGAAACTCTTCTCTAAAAGAATGCTTTCTCTCATGCATGTAAAATGCGTATAACATTGTGATAAGACCGTTCAAAGTAAATAAATCTTTTTTGAAGTAATACCCCGAAGTCGAGTCAAGTCTCACTGGTGATTAGCTGATAACGAGTCATTCCATTTATCTGACTTGGGTCAATTCGCGAGTTAGATTAAAAAACTCAAGTCGACTCAATGACTCTTCAAACCTGATCAACTCCCTAGGTCCTAAGAACATAAAAAATTCTCACAGAGAGTTTACTCACAGTGCGTTAGGATTGCCTTTAAGATTGATCTTCAGTTTACCCTGTCATTAACATATAAAAAATTATTACTTTCTGATGTGCTCCAATATGATTGTTTAAAAAAATGAACAGATTCGTACGTGAAGCCAATTGACTTGTGGTTTGAATTCTGGAATTGCTTTTTGTGGTTTCAGATAACGTTTCACATAATCTGGGTATTCTTTCTGTTCTGCTTCGCCATGGGGTCTAAAAGATACAATATATTACACAATTACTCGCAATTAAAATACTCAAATTATGTAGATGTTCGAGTGCTTGAATGCCCCAGTTGTAATTTCTGGTACACCTTCACCCAGACCACCAAATTATGGATAGTAATTCTACAGATATTGTTTGAATACTGGCAAATGCATAATTTCATTTAATGAAAATGTGCAAAATAAACGAAGAAGCTACTCCAGTGTGTTTTTCTCCACTTCGTCTTGATTAATGTTGCTCGTGGCTCCGTTCGCGGGCGTCAATGTAGTTCGGGGTTTTGGTGTTGGTTGCTCTCGCACTTCGGATTGGGCTACTGCGTCTTCTTTTGGAGCCGGCGTTGTTGCCAGTGGAGATGGAGGCAAGCTAAAATTCAAGTGTTTTTCGATTTATTAATTGAGTTATTGCCGTTTTGATTTACCAAACCAAGAACTTGTTATAACTTCCATGCATAAAAAGTTATTGAGCAATTCGCTGTCTCAACAATTTGACTTCATTCCTGTGTCAATTTTTAATCAATATTTACCTCTTTTTCTGACCAATCTTCAAATTACTAAAATCTTGTAATGCATCTACTGGGGCTGGAGATTCTGCGCATGCTGGTGTGAGTGCTCTAAAAGTTATTGTTTAGTTATTTGGTTCGAGTTATATCACAGTGTTTGATTGAAAGCAATTATATGATAACATAAAATTTAAAATAATATGTTATAATTATATACTCAAATCAAAATGCAGTTCGCCATCTATAAGCTTGCAAAAATTACGGTCACTTTGTGCAATACGCATAATTTTAATCTGAACATTAGATAATTTTGTGCTATACATGCAGTGTCGTGTGAGGTAACTTTTGTGTGAGTATTGCGTGTGAGAGTGTATACCGAATAGATTGTTCTGATTGACTCTGGCGCTTGTTTTTGTGTTTCTCGTTTGATGTCATTGATATTTCGGCTGATGTTCGTATTCGATTGCGTGGATTTGTCATGGTTGTCTTTTCAAGAGATGGTTTTTCGTTATTGTTTGAGTGTTTTACAAAGCCATTAGCAGTTGGTTTATGTTCCTCTCTGCTAGTGATTTTTATAATGAATCTTTGAAAAAGAAGAGCATGTATTTACGAGTAATTCACTTCAATAATTAATAACCTAGCGCATAAAAATTGAATCAATTTTGTCGCAGTGCTCAAAGATATGAGTTTTAAATTTTGAATTTATCTCCAAATAGAAATGCCCAGCTTCCTATCCAAACCATTATGATGAAATGTGAACTCACCGTGGTGTGTGTGATTGCATGTTGCTTGCCGGACGTTCTCTGAAATAAAGAGCGAATGTATAAGTTGCAATCTCTGTCATCTCCAAAAATTTAAAATCCCTCTTCAAACTAGATAACACAATTTATAGCTGTTTTTGATCATTGTAGCTTTTATTAAGAACTATCATGTTTTTACTAATTTAACTATCGACCATAGTAGTGCCAATACTTACAGTTCGGTGGCCGTCGTAAAATTCACTTCAGACTGTCTCTTATTCTTCAGATTTGCTTCGATTTCTTCTTGCCTGTAATTATGTGTGTCACAAAATGTGTTATATTTTTTTAAATGAAGATTTTTCATTTGAGAACACACGTTTGGGAGTACACATACTTGCCCAAAAATAATATCTAATATTTATCATACTTGCTATTGTTCCATTATAAATTAGCCACGAAAAAACTTGGGTGGATGAAAAAATACAAAACGATTATCCGCTTCTAAATTCAGGCGTTAAGAAGGCCTTTAATGCTGTTGATCAATACCATTTTAAGAAATAATATAGAGAAAAATATTATCATTACGCCATCAAAGTAAGATGGACTTCTTCGCCAGAATTCTTGATGTATTTCATAATTTCGTGTAAATCAAGATCACTGATTGACATCCCATTGACAGCAATAAGAACATCGCCTTGCATAACATTTGCTTGTGCAGCTTTTCCTCCTGGTGTAATCTAAAAATAACTTCGGTTTATTGTATCACGTATTCTACGAAATGGAAAGTGATAATTTTGGTTTTAACACTTGGTTTTAACAGTTAATTTTAAGCTAAGGCAATCGTATGAAATTAATAACTAATACCCTATTCATTTTGAACTTCATGGAAATTCTTTTGAGAAAGTTTGTTTAAAACAGTTGACCTTGTATAGAATAGAATTATCACTTTTCTATCACCATTCATTTATCGTTTGTTCATAAGATGTTGCAGTGAACGTTAATAATCCCTTACCGTATAAATATTATATCTGTCAATAGTTGCAATACTTACTCTTGAAATAGTACAAGGTGCTCCTGCGAAAGTTCCACCTGATAAACGGAATCCCCAAGGCTGTCCGCCCGACATTGATACCTCATAAGGCATTTCGAAACTATTTATTTTAGTAAATTATATTTAAGAATCTGCAAAATACATTGCAAAGTATAGTGTATTCATACCTTACTAGTCATAACAAGATTGCCACGTTGCTGCTTCAATACATCTTCTACCATGTTACTTTCATAAATTAACAACCTAAATATTATGTCTAATCAACATGCAAACTTGAGACCAACATATATGGAAAATTTATATTTAATATATTTGGGCTATATTGACAGAAACATAGAATATCTAAAAAGCGTTGAGATTCAAAATCCAACATCTTGTGATAACGTCACCATTTGGTGCCGTTCAGTAATATGTGTGATTCTGCATAACCGTTTTGATTACTCAACTTGCTGTGCTATATGCTCAAACCTAGCCATATATCTTTAAGAATATTAGCCTCACAATACCATTAAATATAACACATCACCTTTATGCTTCTTAGTGACCACTGATGATAAAATGAACGATTCTAGACCGACCTTCTGCTTAAAAGAGGGAAAATAAAATGGATTTACCAGCGTTTAGTGATCAGACCGATTTGTTGATAGGACAAGGTGACGATTACCCTTGCTCAAAGTGAGAAATACCTTAACAGCAGATTGAATGTGTTAAATACCATTGCGAACTCTTCTCAACGCTCATTTGTCACTTGAAGTCTGGTTATTGTAAATATAACATGCAGGACATGCCACCAGCAACATGTACAAAAACGAATATTCAATCGAATCGTAATGTGCGTCAAAGAACTCATTACACTTCAAATTTGTCAGTTTATTGAATAAGGGAAAACTTTAAAGCATACGTTTGCATTAATTATTTATCGTATGCTATTTTTATATTTATATACATAAAATTATTTGGCTAATTACAGTTTTTTTCTTAACAGTGCATTTCATGCATTTTCATCACAGACAAGTCGCCTGATTTAAATATTGCATCATATTTTGCGAGAACAAGTTATTACATGTAAATGTTGTTCAAATTTTTTATTTGTGTTTAAAGTCAGATCATTCGTAAATCTATTGTAATATTCAATTTTCACTGGTGTGATATTGCATTAGTTTTTTTAGGATTACAGTCAGATTACTGCCATTTTCATGTAGTTTCTACTTACGAACATTACGTATTGTGATAATTTGACCTTTGACTACAACGGTATTTATTTTCTTATCTTTTATAACTGAAGTGAATAAGCTGTTTTGCAACGGAAAGACACCGGAGGAGATGTAATTTGCAAAATATTCGGAATTTCATCTTTGGTTATTTAGTTCGGTTAGCTTTGGAAACGATTTTAATTGGTATTTGAAGTATAGGAATTAATTTCTCTCGAACGCCAGCCTTGAGTAATTTAAATTCATATGGCATACTGATTTTAACTGATTCAGGTTCCGTTTCTCTTCTACTCTAGGTGGTGTCGAACCCTGTCGATACTTACAAAACGTACATAGTGAAAACGATTAATAGTGAGTTTATTATGTCATTTAAATACCCTACCTAAATAGAAACATTAAAATGAGTATATGCGTAAAAGTGATTACAGCCCGCTAGAAAGAGTTGTTTGGTCTATGGCTAGATTTTGCCGAACAACCATTTTTTATACCAATCACATGGCCTTTGATTCAAGAAGTTGGATGATCTATGCAGAATCGAAAAATCTCAGGTTTTTGCGAACATAGAAGCTACTAACGTAGGAGTGGCGATAAAGCAATAGTTCTGCTCGTAGTGAATTCGACAATCACACCATAAATATGAACACACCAGTTGCACAAAAGTGTCTGAACCTGACCAAGTAAAGATATCCAAAACGTCCAAAAATCCAATAAATTGATTCTACGGTACAATACTATACGACAGGCAGATAGATAGATGGATTGATATTATAATATTGTCGTTTGTTACATTTGTGTTATAGATGTGTAATATAGAAGCTGGAGTGCTAAAGTTATAGAATTCTCAATCACCAATGCAGCAGGCGTGCGTTCATATTTCTTCACGGATCTCATCATTTTTATTGGGTTGTGATAAAGTGACACTTTTTTCCGTTTCGCATTAATAACGCGGTATGTTGATTTCTTATTGTCAGTATTTTGGGTAATTTAAAAACGATAACAAACAATAAAGGGCGAATTTGAATCTATTAAGATCATCAAAATTTGATAAAGTGTGTTAGTATCACCAGTATATTTTCGTGCCAAAGTAAACATTACGATACTTCTGCTTTGACTTTCTTTGTCAAGTGGTCGCGCAAGATCCGGGAGCTAGAAGTTTCTTTGTTGAAAAATCGTGACATATGAGGATATTATGACGTCATAAATCTCTTATCCTATTGTGTGGGTATAACCTTATTGTATGCGCAAATGAATGTAGATGTGTGGTTCTTAGAAGTTTTGGTGGGCACGGTTATTCAAGAGGGAGTAGGCTATAACTGAGACATTTACCTATTTTAGGGCGAAACAAACGCTGTAAAATTTTCACGGGTTGAAAAAACGATAAGTTTTTTATTGAACCAAAAGTTGACTTTTCAGACAATTTCAAGGATATTGTCCTGGTTTTGAGTAGCGGTGACGTCATTCGTTTCTTGAGGCCAGTTTAATTTGCCCGAGTCAGAGGTTTTAAGATACGATTGTTACTCACAGTGATGCCAACGAGAAAGGTCAGATTCGAGTTCCTAAAAGACAGAAAGAAAAATGGTGTATTCAATCGTGATCTTAGTTTAGTTCCCTGGAACTCAAGTTTGATTATATATGGCCTGGTATAAATATTAACAGAAAGCGATAAAATCGTAAGATTTTAAAAATAGCAATTTCCAACATCACTAAAATTTATACTACGTGCATGTAGCTAGCGTCATTAAGACGCGGTTCATATTCTTTTCATGCTTAATTCACACTAAATTAATCTAAAAATAGTTTCTCCCTCTACATTGTGCGCTCATAATAACCATTAAATATTAATTAATGTGGAAATAAATGATGAAAGCAAATTGCGCAGACAGCTATAATAGCGAAAGCAAACGTTGAAGCTCATTGATTTAAAAAAAAGCCGACTCAGTGAGTTATAAGGAGAAGATAATAGTAAGATTTATTGTGATTTTGTAAACCTTAGCTAACGGAAAGAGTCATTTGCCTCGTTGAATGCATCTATGCAAAGATTAAGCAATAGGCTGGATTTTTGTGTCAAAACAAGCTTTTACATTAGCGACAATATATTCGTGGATTATACGTGGATTTGACGAGATAATGAAAAGAACAGTACTTAGCATGATTCGTAAATAAAAGTACATGCGAGTTAGTTGGAAATAGCACAATGAGCTTATTGATAGGAGAGGAAAATGGCCGCAATTTTAAATAATATTACAACGATATGACTATATATATATATATAAATCAGCGTTAAATTTGAAGTATATATAGTTCTCAACGCCTCGGTGGCCTAGGAAAATTCTTTAACTTTTTTGCTTGCTTCATATAATAAAGAAAATTTCTTTTATTATTATTATTTATTACGTGGATTATTTGCAAAAATATTTTTTTTCGCGTTACTCATAATATTGAAAGAATTTTTTCATTATTCAGTTATATATAAATTAAAATGAAAAAATAGAAAATTGATTTTTCATATCCTAGTCTGAAATCACATGTGTTCTACCACATAGATGGATAATTTTAATAAAAAATTTTAACATATTGTGTCTTCAAGTATAATAAATCAAATATTTTGTGTGCAGATCAGTTCCAATCAACTATTGCATTATAAATAAGGTAAATATTCATATAAGAATTGATATTCCATGAGCTGATGGTCGTGACTTCAACAAAAACTTGTAAATAATTTCCATTTTCAATCTATGTTGATGGTTGTTGACTTAACGAGATGAATGCCGAAAAATCGTGTATTGCAGATGTAATTTTTGTTGAACATTTCATTATCCACGAGTACACGACATGAAAATATTTGGCATGTACTTTTCGTACCAAACGCCTTAATGTGTACTTGTGAAAAATGATTGGAAGTAAACATTGTGACACGATGCGCCAAATGTCTTTTTAAAAAATATGGAGTATCCATAATAAATTGTTTATTTGATTTTTGCCTACGTAGTATACAAATAACAAGAAATCAATCAAAAAGTCTTATATTTGTTTCTGTTTGTGAACACGTTCGCGTCGTCAGGTTTGCAAATTTATCTTCTCAAAAAGCAATTCAGAAAATGATGGATCGCCAGGATGGTCCAGAACGGTCCATTCAAACTTTGTCTGTGGGTGACACATGTAACAGTCTTGGGATGTATATTATAGAAGGCTAGATACTGGAACAAACTTTCCATAGTTTCAATGATTGGGTAAACTAGCTTCATTGTAGATTAGCAGAACGTTGTAGAAACAGCTCGAAAAGTTTGAGCAGCAGTGAGAAATGCGCATTCATTATAACCAAAACCTGTTGCAGGTTGATACTTTGCACAGTTCAACTGAGAGGGCTCTAACGAGTAAAAAATTGTTCAATACATTGAGTAAATCCCATTGCTAGAATGACCAAACATTGTTAGGCATTTTTTATGATCTCGTATCAAATCTTTTACAAAAATTTCGAAATGAATTATGTTTTGAAAAAATATTTATTGGTTGAATTTAAACACGGAGGCAGATAGTTTCGTGGTCCTAAATTGATTTTGTAATATTTGAATATATTACATTATCACTAATTAATCTCTCGTTGATGTAGAATTAAGTAAAACTAAATAACAAGCTTGCATGAAAATGGCATTCAAGTTTGAAAATGTTTATCCTGAAACAGTAGCAACAACACCGACAACGACCATTAGCTCCGTAAACGACGATGTGTTCAACACAACACTGATTATATCAACTATGACAACATTGGGATATATTGAAAGTGAAAATGAGAACGGCGAAGAGGAAGGAATGAAATTAGGTAGTTTTCAATTGATATTAGTGTTCTTATTATTTAAAATAGCAATTATGTTGACTCCGACCACTTTCCCAGTTAAGTCTTAAGTGGAATCATGGCCATTCAAACCATGAATTGAATATAAGAGACAATTCTAGGTTGAAATAAGTATTTTGATTTCGCCCCCATACTTCGGAGTAGAAGAATTTCAACTTCGAAAACATCAAGTTTTATTCGGTTCAGGGCATTAGAACTTATTGCTCTAAAAACAAGAGCGGCGTCTCGATTATCATAGCAGTATTTACTTTTGTTGAACTGTATTGTGTCTTGATGAATATCTCTTTTCAGGGTCTATACTTGAAATTGTAATCGGTTGCACCTTAACTTTTGCTGTGGTTGTGTTATTGCTGGTAACGCTGGTCAGAAAATCTCGGTTCGTGGAAGAAGGCGGGTGCAATTTTCTTAAATTCGGAGATTCGGAAGAGAAATTGAAATGGATGAAAGTCAAACAAGATTATGATACTTTTGAAAAAGAACAGAATATCAAAAAAGAGAAAAAGAGTTCGCTTTCTGCATCAATGCCCAGCATGAATTCATTGATGAACCTATTCTCTCGGTCGAAGAGTGAAGGTGATGCAAAACGGTTTGTAAACATTTCCTAATTTAACATCAAAGATTTAGATTTCAATAGTTACCAATGAACTTATTGAAACGAATTGGGCCTAGGATCACTTTGCTAAAGTTTTGTTGTTGTTGTCGTTGGCTTTTTTGTTGAAGTTGTTGAAAACAAATTCCTGGCAACCTATCGAATAGACCAATCGATTTCAAATTTCCAGTGCCCAAAGATAGTTGAAGTCGCTGAAACGCTTTTATTTTTATTTTGCAAATTTTCGATGAACCATATGGAGGACCCGACATTTTACCCTAAACAAAAATGCAATTTTATGGTAATTCGTAGGAACGCTTGTTTATAAAATTTGAAAACACACACCAAGCTTGTTGATCTTATCAATAAACTCCGTTCTCAGTTGGACAGCTAAGGTCCTATCGTAACGGTACCAATGTATGACTACCGTGTCCATTACCATCTTATCATTCAGACAATCTCGAAAAAATGTTATAGGCTTGCTTCACTTATGCTAACAGATCATAATTTGATGCTATACGGGGAAATTTGGAAACCGCCTAAGTGTTTCCTTAACCATAAACGAAAACTCTCACGTCGCTTGATGCGTCAACTGGTTTGTAACGGTGATAGAAAAGTGGTCAGGTTTTTCTACAAATGTTCATTTGCGATTCTTTAGAACGAATCACCCTGTTACATATCATGACCCGTTTCCCATTTTATCGTGAGGCGAATCTGTGTTATGCAAAAAACATGAATTACGTTGGCCTGTTAAGTGCATCCATATTGTCTAGACTGTGGCATAACCAATTTTATAATTAGATACTTTTAATTTGTAAATGGATTTGAATCGAGGGTCACCTGGTGTTCCCATCAAGATCCATTGCCCGCCGTCAATCAGCAGATAACGACACAGTGTCAAAGCTTTGCTCTGAGAATAGTTCATTCTCATTTACGATTTTAAATTTCAAATTCGATCCGAAATCATGCATAGGCTACTGAATCCCTGCGATCTATGTTGTGAATTTATATAATAAGAAGCAAAGTAAGAATACTGCCTCATAATAGTTTTGTTACATGCGCCATTCACAAGGGAATTGGAGATTGAAATCTTGTACATTATTAGGTTGTTATCTTGCATTTCTCATACGAGTATCGTGCGTATTCATTCACTAATACTATGTGTATATTTCCGAAATAAACTAGTTATATAAATCTTATATATATGAGGAAATATATTAGGGCTTTTCTTAGAATCAAGATAATACACGATAACGATGTACAGTTGTGGTAATATGCAACCATTTTTTCAAATTTTTCAGAGTAGTTATGTAGCGCTCAAAAAATTGTTGTTATGTCGTTGTTAATTTGATAAATTTTAAAAGTTATGTCACATGACAATACACACATCTGGAATATCAAATAAACGGGTATACGGCAGAAGGATGGCGGACATCGGAATGTAGTATGTGTACCAGGTTAGGGTTAGGCAATAATTTCAGGTCCATATACTACGGGAGTCACTTGGCTAGTCCCCGAACTCGTAATAGAACTAAAATAAGAAAACTTGGAATAAAATTATGGCCTTACCATAACTTGGTACAGATACTATATTCCGGTGTCCGCCATCTTGGTTCACATATTACGGGAGCGCCAAATAAACAGCTAAAGCTATCCGCAATGACAAAATACCGATGACAATTCTCAGTATCAGTACAATTACTAAAGTGTAACAATAGTTTGGAAACCAGAGGAAATGTGTAAGGTGTCCCAAAATAAATAAAACCCACAAAATTGGTAATCGTATTAATGGGTTTCATTCATTTCGGGACGCTCTGTATGACAAACTGTATTCTTGAGTATATATTATTTATTTGAAATTAACTGGTTTGCTTCAAAATATCATACTAAATGACGCAGAGATGTCCGTGTCCGTGGGCCATATTTTTCTGTCCCATCCCATGGCAATTTATGCCTGTTCCATCCCACCCCATGGGATTAAGATTGGAATACAATTCAATAAAAATTGTTTAGGTTTCCCATGGACAATCCTGAAGATACGACCATGTCTTTGTTCGATCGCCACTTTTTGTAATCGAGAAATTTTATATTTCATGACGACTTAAAAATTTTACCAATCGTATTTGGAATAATTTAAGCGATTGCACAGAATATATCTCTTGTAAATTTGAATGTAAAAATTCGAAAACAATTTCTATTTCCTCCTAGTTCCTAAGTAATATTTGGTTCAAACCTAAATCTTCTTTATCTGCACCGAGTTGTAATGTCAAAATAATCGAATGAACTGGGGTAAAATTGTAGGACCAAATTCTTCGAATTGCATGAATCATTGTTATACAAGAATTCGTCATAATTTTTTCCCAATAAATATAAGTTGCTATACAAACACATTATCGATTGCACAATTGTGATCATCCCTGCTATTACTAGTTATATAATAGAAAATTTAATGTAATGCTTGCGCGATTACAGTTTAATTGTACTTCTATTCACTATTTTAGAAAATAATCGAAGTCAATTATATTGAAGTATCGTAGACGTAAATGTTGCGAGTATTGCTAATATTAATTTCAATCAATACGCATTTACGAAGAAACTATCCATGCGATACATTCTCGAGAAAAGATTGTAAAAAACACGCCAACTTACGCCATCTACCGAGTTGAATACTGCTGTCTTCAGTTCGGGGGGAGAAGTCGTAATTTTACGTTCCCAAGCTGCCAGGAGTTAGTTTCGGAATTTCAGACAAGGCTGAATCATTCAATCAGTTTTTATCAAGTAGGGGTCAAGTCAACAGAGCTTTGACTGTTTAGAAAAAATTAACCGCGTTGTAAATAGACACCAGTTAGTTGTGTAGGGCACAAATCAATCAATCGATTTTATTTTGGTCACTCTGGAAGAAAAAACAACAACAAACGGACAAACAAAATGCAGTGGACCTGGGGGACGGAAAGACACGCTATAAAATCGGGCAATACCTTTTAAATCAATTTAGGATGTGAGACACTGAAACAAATAATATCATGGCAACACCACGAAACAATATACCCATCGTGCTTAATCTATTTTGAGCAAGTGCGTATTGGTGTGTTTTTCCGAATTGGCTAAATACAATTAGTTAATATGGTGTTTTTGCCAAAGTCTCTGATGGCTCCAGAAATGTTTTACACTTCAATTTTTACTAAATAATTGCAGATATTAACAAATAAGGTCTGAACTAAGAACGCCCCTACAATACAGACAACAACTAATTTTGTTTTGGAAAACACCTTTCAATCTTCGCGCCCGCATTTGAGAGATTGGGAATTCGGTACTTTCTCAAAATTCCTGCAATTTTCAAATGTTCAAATTGTTTTGTTGTTATTCTTCGGTGAAAATTCCCGTAACCTCAACTTTGCTAACTTTGAAAATAACCGCTGCCGTTCTTTACACTTTCAATTTCAAAGCATAAATACGGGGTATAGGACGTAATCAGTGATTCAAAAATAAGTTCAGATTCGAGGGAAACGACGTAAGAAGACGAAAACAATAGTGTAGAATTACTACCGTAGTAACTCAGAAGCAGAAATAATAGTTAGATATGGGCTGTTTGAGTTTGAAGAATTGAAATTTTCAATTGAAATAAATTTATTAGGTTTCGTTTGCAGTACCTTGTTATTATACAATGCCAGTGGTTTTTTTTGCGACAGGCGTGAAACGAGGCAACCATGACAAGTATCAACGATTTATCTGTTACTCAGATTTGGCCGTTACAGAAAGTGATTTGATTGCATAATTCCAAATCTTGATGTAATTTTAAATCTTAACATTTTATTAAAAGGTCGAACCTATTTTGAAATTGGTGTATGTTGATAACTTCTATATCCTTAGTTTACAAAAATTATGGATTGATTTGCAAACAAAAATGCCCTCCAGTTTGATCGATTTGAACATAGCGTATAAACCAAACTATGTTTTGTCCCCAGAGCACACCAAGGAGTTCTTTATCGAACCTATTTTGGAATGAAATCATCTATTGTTCAAATTTACCGTTATGTTTGCGATTCTTTAAAGCGACAACCATGTTCTTTCAATGTTTGATTTCGACTGTGATAAAGTTACATACAATGCAAGAAATATTATTTTCGAATGTAAAATTCTTTTCATCATCATCATGGAAAATACCGCTTCGATATAAATAAGAATCATTTAGAAACCCCTTTCACAAGGTAAGTTTTACTGTACAGCACTAGCGATTCAAAAGGAATGTACGGGACACGCTTCATCGCAGATTATAATCTTACTATTGTGCCTGTAGATTTCTAACAATATGAACGAAACGATAGTAGTTGATTATCTAAATTAGTTTGAGAAAAATTTCGGCTTCTGAAAGTTCGTTCGTAGTCAATTTTAGTAACGAACAGCGAATTTAATTATTCTAATTTTTGATGATATTTGTGCTTAATGAATTTAACAGTATAAAGAAGGTTTGCGTGACTGACGATTTTGAAAATAACGCATAATCTAACTGCATTTTGATCCTTTGTGACGATTGTTTGCCGAAGAATTACGAAATGAGTAGTATTGCATAGTTGAATGTAAAACTTGCAGTTCTGAAACTTTAGGAAAATTAGTATGGAACAATAATGACGAAATAAAAGTTACATATCTAAAAATTGGAAAGTGTCGAAGCTAATCTCATCTTTCTTTCTGCATTATTGAGTTTCCCCCAAATTCTTTGAAAAATGTTATGCGCTATGTCTATTTCCAACGTTGATAACATATGAGAATAGGATTTCAAATTTACCACGAAAAAAGGTTGCACATGGTTGCTACTACGGAATAGTCACAGTTAAGATCAAAGTTTTTTAGTAAAATAAAGCTCGCACTTTGCTGAATATGTTTTACTCAGCGTTTTCTAGCCTTTGCTGTGGTATTAAGCCCAATCTTTTGTGTGAAATGGAAGGTTTATTTTAGGTCTATTGTGTATCGGACGTTGATTTATTATTCGAATACCG